TTTGTTTGACTTTGTATCAGATACAAAATAAAGAGAGAGAGAAAAGTCTAAAAAATCCGTTCAGTTGCTAACAGCACTGATATTTTATTATTTAAATTCAACATTATCATTGTTTGTGTTGGTTTGGATGTTTCCTGTGTATATTATATGTATTTGAAAGTTATATAAGTTTTCTAGTTAATACATATAATCTTTTAATTTAACTTTTTTAATAACATTGGTTTAACAATATTGTTTCTCACTATCATTACCTCTTACTTTGTTTCATAAATTAGTTAGATATTGTATATGTGCGTTGTCGATTAAAAATATAGGAAATAAGCTACAGAATCCTCCAAACACGTCGATTCAGGCAGTAGGCCGTTGACGCCGAATCAGGTAGACGGCCTCGCGTCGACACTGACATTGTGACCGGAACAGCGACCGTTTCCTGTATTGTACATGGACCAATCAAGATGTGCATTATCCCAATACTTAAGTCTACAAATTCAAAGTCAATATTTTTTTCTTATTGAAATGGCAAACTATTTGACTTAACTTTACCTCCTTGAACAGGACTACGGATATCATAATGCCACCTAATTTCACGACCATATCTCTTCAACCGAAACAGTATACAAATGAAGCTACTTGGCGGTTGAAATGGATGAGACTGAGGTACAGACTTTACGAAATCTACCTTGATACTGCTAAATTATCACAACTACTTATAACATTGTATTTTAAAGGTACTTAGTATGGATGTAGAGGGAATAGTACGATCCAATTCTATAACTTACAATAATGCAATTCAAGCTCTAACTTACTTAGTGATATCGAAGGACCTTCAGTAATATTTTATTCCTTTTACATTCCATTTTTCCTTGTGCTTCAATGTAGAAAATAAAATGAAAAGGTAATTTTATCAGATTCAAATTATAGTTCTTCATCCATTTCTATATAGCAATGTAGTCGTGTCCGTCTGTCTGTTTAACTGCTTACTTAATTTTTTTATTACAGTTTCATTTCGAGAATATATTTTAGGAGCTTTATATGTATGTACTTATACGACTTTCGTAGTACACCTGCGGAAGCCGAGTTAAGTCGCCAGTATTCTACAATATTATAATGTAAAATCATCTTTATTTCTTAGTTAATCAATACATATTATTATGTAATCAATTGAAATTTATAAATATGTCTTTTACCACTAAATCTGAACCTACTGTTTGCAAATTTAACTTGTTGCAACAGCTTATTGTTTATATGAAAATTCGTGGAATTTTCCTCATTAGAGTACAAATACAATCATTATAGTATGAAATTAAGAACGTGTAATTAAAACAAAGCCCCCAAATAAACTTGAAGCGGCCAGTCAAGTCGACGACCCTGAGCGAGGACGCCTCACACTGCACATGTAATTTCCGCACAACGTTGCCTCACTATAGAACTCCTTCAGACCCACTCCACATTGGATATTAATGTCCACTAAATTGTAAAGGATCGAAGTGCATGCCATAGGTGTCCAATACTTGTGTAGGTGATTTGCAATGAATTGCGCAGCTACGTGATTGCATATAAATGTCTTTAATTTATGAGTTAATATAGATATATTACGTCTATCTAATTCTTTGTTTCCATATGTTTGCTGTAATCCTGGTAATATATTTAGTCAAATCTTACAATTGGTAGCATTTAAATGACTTTATGTCTCAGCACATGACTGATAACTATATACAAAAAATTCAATATTATAAATAAAAGAGCTGTCAAGTTTATGTTTATTAATATTAACGATTAGGCATATCAATAAATTATTATGGGCGTAACCTCTTTTGTGATAAGTTCAGAATTTATGAGTTATTCTACGAACATCCTGTGCTCGTACGTCTGGGGATCATCATGAAATGTAACAAAATTCACAAGGTAGTTAGCACAAAAAAACAGATTATATCAAGTTTCTAAAAAATACTGGTAGCCTACTATTTTGAAGATAATAGTAGTTACAGTTGAGGCGACAAACATGTTAGCGTCACTTGATAGGTTGAATAAAGAATACAAATACAAATGTACAAATCTTTTTTTTTTAAAACACTACATTCTAATTGATTAATTTCATAATTATTCAATAATATCTGTTTGTTTGTTATTATTGTGTGGACATAAACGTTATCAATGGAACCTATTTCTAAATTTTCATGCTGTTAGTTAATTGATTAATAATCAGGGTAAGTCTATTTATACTAACTATAATAAAATATAAATATAAATAAAATTAATAAACATATTAATCATTTCCTATAATTCACGGAAGTCTAACAAAGGCCTCGTATCGACGCAAAAGCAAACTTTTTCATGTGGCGACGCGACGCTCGCCAAATATTTTATATTGACTTGATTATAACGCCAGTATCAAGGTCTTTGACTCATACTAGTTTATTTTCAGTGGCTCTAGAGTTCGTTTATCTTTGTTGACAAAATAGAATATAAGATTATTGCACTCCTGTACCCTCAAAATAGCAAGAGTTCGGCGTAGACGCAAGTGGCTTTACCTTGAAAATAATATAAATTATACAAAGTAAAATTATTTATATGAACCCTTATAGTACTTTATTTTCTGTGAACTTGATGGAAACAAAAAAATAATACACAGAAAATGGATATTCTAAATGCCAAATGCTCGCCATGACGGCTGGCATTATTGCAAGATACCCTGAAGGCATTAACTAATACACAGTTCCAAATTCTTGTTGCAATTTAATAGAATTCGTATTATCATGACACGAAAAGGTCAGGTGCTTACTTCTTTGTTTGTATATTTAGTTGAATATTGTTTTAATTTATTACTTATTTTTCTAAGAAGAGTTTTAAGACCGAGCTGTTATTATATATCCGAAGCAATGAAGACGTCCAGGGAATATTTTCTCCAGAAATATACCGACCTTCCGCATTTAGGAACTTATAAAATAGCTACATTCTAAATTCCTAAATGCGGTTACTAATCCTAATAGATTATAATAGAATTGTATGCCTGCCTGCGCTAACAATTAGTAGTCGCTTATTTTATCGGAATGAAATCATACGTTAGCTTGTTGTAAGAAATTCCTGAGGAATGAACCGGGATGCCGAAGGTTTTCATAGTTAATAGTGGTGATCAGGTGGTATGGGACTGTCAGCATTAAATTACTATTAAGACCCGATAAGCTACTATAATAATGAGTGGTAATAACTTATTTCTCTTTTAGAACGATATTTATAATTATATAAATTAATTGTATTTCTGTATACTTTCTATTTGTGATATCGATATCTAACAAATCACACTATAAATACGCTTATATATAGTGTGTGCAAACCAAATACAAACAGTTGTACTATATACGGCAACAGCATGACTCAATCTCTTATCAAAACGCGTGCTGCACAATTCTTGTAGCTATATTTTCTTGAGCATTTTGCGTCAATGTCAACGCACATGGCCATTACTACGCAAATCGAAAGAACATTTAATATATTACATAAAGAACGTTGCAATATGTAAACTTCGGAATAGATTACTATGTAGTTATTTCAAATTGGATTTATTGTAGATTGTGTGACACTGATGACAAATCTACGTATTAAAAGATCAGAAAAAAATACAGAAATATATTGTATAAAACATTCTCAGACCGATGATTGTTTTGTTGGAACAAGTTCAAGGTATAATGTTACTAATTACATTAATATCTCAAACGTGAGTTCATTCCACTTCAATATATTGTTCGATAATATTTTTTTGTGAGTTTATCACAAAATATTTTTAGACATCATCAAAATAACAGTGTACAGTTCATTGACTGATTGTACTGATGATATGTGTGCTATCGATCATGTAGAAAGTCATAATAAGTCTGTGAGCAGCTGACCAATCATGATATCTTGCATTGACTGCATCATTGCCATCTAATGACTAATCGTTCGAATGGACCGTTAGAGCGAGTTGGGACCTTAATGGTTTAATTTAAATAATAATATAAGGTTATGATAAACTTTTTAGATGAATTAGTTATATGCATCGTCAAATATTGATATGGTGAATACAACAGATGACATGCATAATTAAATTAAAATTAAAAATTAATTTACAGAAATTTGAAATTTATAGATGTATAAAATATATTTATTAAAGGATAATATGTATATTCTTAATTGGTTAAGATATCTATACAAAATTAACAAATGCAGTCTCATCGAGAACTCGTCCTTTTCACAGTCGTATGAAATGTGAATACGTAATATTACGTACTTAACTAGGAAATTGCCTTGTCAGAGTTCTATTACAATGACGTACAAAGACTTATGTCATTTTTCATTATCGAACTCGTAAAATTGCGTAGAAGAAAATCTTGATTAAAATAAAACAGGGGGACGCTCGCGCGTGCGCAGAATATCACGTCTATCATTGGTACTGTGCTAACATCTATAAATTTAAAGGAAAATATATTGTTAATACATAAATATATTTATAAATAAACATAACTAAAATAAAAAAGAATATAATATATTTAAATTTAGAATATATATTTTTATTATACAATATTTATTAAATATGTTAGAGATAATACTTTGAAATTATCTATTCGTTATGTACGATGACTATTCATTGATTTCTGGGCCGTATTACGACGATAAACCTGATATGACACCGGGTTACAGTGAGTTATTCCAAATAATTTTTTCATCTAATTTAATAATAGAAATAAGTATTCATAATAAATAAATTTAACAATTTAAACATTATTTAATATTATCGTAAATTACAATAAAACTTAAATTAGATATTATGTGTAAAAAGTACAGTTAAAGATAAACTAATTGTTAGTTAATAAACTAAAAGATAAAATGACGGGGACACAGTTTAGTAACTTATTAAATTGTATTTCTTTTTTCATTAAGTTATTAACTAAATAATCGTTCAGCGTTTTCATGTAATATAATTTTATACATAAAAATAACACGTGTTTATGTTTTGTCCGCAGGAATAATGACACTCAGCCGCGGCCCGTGTGACCTCGACAACATGAGTCTGTTCCAAGACCTCAAACTAAAGAGGCGGAAAGTTGACTCTAGATGCAGTAGCGATGGTAAGTGTACAGCGAATAATATTGATAATTATCAATAATTATGTATATTTTTAATACATCTACGTATCGACTTAATGATTGTAAACATTTCTTGTTTAGAAATATTTTTATTTCTTCAATTGAAATAGCAAAATCACGGCCTACCTGATGGTAAATGGTATCCGTGGCATACATGAACAGCATTATGGACATCACGTTTACGTGTGACGTTGGTGATACCACTCATGTTGCTATTTTTGAACAAAAATGTCACGCCTCCATATCCTGTAATGTCACTGTTTTATTCCCTTCAAACAAAACACAGCTTACAAAGTACGCTGCTTGGCGGCTGAAATAAGGTGAGACTGAAGTATTCACGGCAACCTTTCACAAAATTGACCAGTACCGGCCATATTTGCAAATTACTTTAGATTCATATTTTACTCTAATACTTGCTAGTATGTGTCATGAAAAAGAGTACCCAGAGTCTTATATTTATGTCGTTCAATTTATTATTTTTCCGTAATCTAACTAAATGACTGAACACTTTTAAAAAATAGTTACCTATTTTTTTAAAGATAATGTAACTTTTTGTAATATTGTTATGCAAATTGTGAAGATATTGCAATAATTAATTACCCACGGAATGAATAAGAACTCAATTATTTTATGTGAAGCAATAACCCATTACAGATATCGTTGCTCTTGTGGAGACTGATGGAAGATATTTTCGACGCACTTTGATATTAGGGTTTCGTTTCCTCAATCCAAACTCTCTTTGTTTATTTTATTATAAATCAGCACATTAATTTCTACATAGTAACTTTCTAAATAACCACATAATATATCATTAAATTATATTTTTTTGATTTTTTTTAAATGATTTAGTAATACTAAATAAAATAAAAATCAATAAACAAAGTTACTCAACCACCTATCTGGATACAAGTATAAGTAAATTTGGTGTTAATTTTATTTCAATCGGTTTACAAAAATTATTTACTGTTATGTAGTCGCAGGCTTATATAGTTCATACACTAGATATTATTATTCTAGTTACACTACTATCCAACATTGTCACTCGTCTCACGATTCGCTGTCACTTTCGACAACGACAGTGAATTCATGGTGTCCACCCATTACATACAAAACTACGTTCACAAAAACAAAAATAAGTCCGATAAAAAATATTCCGTATTACACAATACATGAAAACATCGTAAACGAATTAGTATTTGATAATCGTCGTCATCTGCAGAAAGTTGAATAATCCGTAGACATAACGCGAGAGAAGTGAACCGGTTTTGAGAAATGCCGTAACTTTCACTCACTCTGACAAAAAGTTCCGAAACGAGGTCCGGTTTCACAGACGGTTACAATGTCGTGCGGATTATGAATAGCGGGTATAATTTCTATAATCGACCGTTACAATACGACAGACAAACGGATTTTCCTTTTTGTTTAACTACTACAAATTTAATAGTGACTTATTGTTATTGCGGTAAATTTTGTAAGAGTTTATTATGTTTCAATTTTACTTATGTATCACAGACATAAAACAAGTCATTATAACCTATAACATGATCTATTTTAGTATCACTGCCGGCCGCCGGTTTTTCTTCTATGTACTATGGGGATAGTTTAGCCTACTGTAATACCATGAAGCCATACGACTTGGTATGAGGTGTTATTTATAGTTCTCTCTTTTATGTAAAATTTACAATTTCTGGAATATCACAATTTTTCATGAATTTTGTTTGAAATTAGTTATTTGTAATAATATAAATATACATTATGGATTTACAATATTGTTTTTTTCATATAAGCTCTATAAATCTATAATAATTATAACGTTCAGTTCAAATTACATAATCGTGACATATCGCGTGTAATCACAACGAAGAAAGTTTACGTAAACATAGAGGTGAAAGCAATAAATAATGTTGTCGTAATTATTGCTATTGTGGCTTCATGAATAACACATGAGAGAAAGATTCACTGTTATGTAACACAACGTTTAGTTCGTGGCGCTCGCAATTGTCGGAGTCGAGATGAATGGCGTTATTATGTATTAAGATCAAAAAATAATATGTATGAGAACGTCATTATATATTATTATTTCTTATTATATACTAATGGTAACGGCGACATCGTACGTCTGTACATTTATAGATCGCCATCTGGTGGTGGTGACCAAGCTAGATAATAAATAATGAATCTATAAACGTCATTAAATGGTACTACAATTTTATTAATAATTTCAAGATCAAAAAAATAATTATTGTCCCCAATTTTTTTTACTGTCTTAAGTCTATAACTTGGCTTTGAAATTTAATCTTTAAAAATATCATTATTATTCTTCTTTTCTACTTAAAATATTATACTTTCTGTATATAAACAGGTCGATAGTTTCGGCGCCATTACAATTTTACCATTTTATTGTTAAATAAATGAAAAATAGTACAGAAGATCATAATGAGAATTATATTTATATTTAAAAAATTGAAAAAAAATCTCGTTTTAGCAAATGTTTTCCGGAACGTGGAGTAATACGTAATGACCACGTGACTATGAAATTTAACAGATTCCGATAAATCTGGTACGGTATCGTGTGACGATGGCTAGTACACGCAAAGTCACGTGACTTGTGACTGGGGGTGTGACGTGCGGTGACGCAACCTGCCGTCACAATGACGCCGTGACGCGTCCTGCTCTTAACGTTACACATTTTCTGCGTGCGTAGTTTACTCAGACCTTTTGTTATTAGGACAATAACCTCAATGAAAATTTGGAGTCAAATGTCAATGGATTTTAAGCCAGCCAGTTATAAACACTAGTTTACACAGAGCATTCTGAACGAACGGATAAACGCCTTCAGTTAACAAAGAAGTAAGTAAAATATACAATAATGTACCCCAATGTGTTTACATCTGAAAATTAGATAAAATTTATAATATACGATTTACTAATGTTTATCAATGATTTTAGTTACAGGAACATGAAATATTTAACTAAATTACAAAAGCTTGAAAAATCAAATTCTGTTTATTTTTGGTTTGTAAGCCTCTCCGCTTAAATGATTTTCCCCTGTGGTTCCTCAGAACTAAACATACGCACCAGTGCGAGAGAAAAGAACTTTAAAATAAGGTCTATACCAAGAGTGTACTAAAATGTTTTTAATGTGTTTAAAATTTTCATCAAGTACTCGTCCATGTAGGTAAGCAGGTGTAACATGTGGGATTTTTCCCACTAAAAACTACACGATATACCTTGAAACTCCGTAAACCAGGGTTACAGAAAGCATCCTTGTCTTAGGAGGAATTTTAATGAGTATTTATAGGTAATATTTTAGATATCTGCGCTATATATGCGTAATTAAAGAATTGAAATCAATAGATTTATATGTGAATTTAAATCCTATCTATAGTATCATACAGTTACTTGAAAACCACATTGATAAAATTGTGAAAGATTTTTAATTTATTTTATGAGTACAGGTTTTATTACAATAGTATATTCGTAAATTATTCACAAGATATCTGTTCTGTTAATACACATGTATTTTACTAACATTCTTTTATGAACATTATATAACATCATTTAACTACATGCTATTAAATAAATTCGCTTCGATCGAAAACTTGAGGTGACGCGACATGGGCAGGGCTCAGCGGCACGTGGCGTCGCGTTGCTTGGGTCGGCGCTGGGGCGCAGGGTGGCTTGGGCTTGGGGTGTGACCTAGTTTCCGCAGAGTCGGTGACCGCATGCGACCTTCGAGCTTGCAACGATCGAATAAATGCCCGCGATCTACTGCCACCGAATAAAAGTTGCATGTTGCGTAACATCGGTGTATTGTTGTTATCTGTCTATCTCGATTCGCGTTTCATTCTCTTCTTCGTTTTCGTATTATTTATGAAATAAGTACACTGTAATTTTATACTTTTTCAATAGATTTTTGAACTCACTAAAGTAACCGTTCACTTCTCACCAGCTAATGAGATTTTAAGTACGTAATCGATATTCACTTACGAAAGCCCTATGAGAAATTTAACCGTGTTCGCTTTCCTAGGTGGCCAGTTAGCATTGCTAACATAACGAGCTGCAATCAAAACGGGACAATTATCTAGGCGACCGAGCCTACCTAGAACCTAGATTGCATCACGCGGCTAGAAAGATCGGTCCCCACCAATGATGTGGCAAAGGACGCGAAGTGAAATAGAGATCGTCCTCGAAGCGAGAGCGGTGCACGCGTTGCACTAGTCATTGTGCGGTTGCACTTCGCACGCACGGCCGTCTGGGTGACCTAATAGCGGCTGGAGGGAGGGACCGGGAAGCATAGTGCGGGGAGCGGGGCGCGACTGTTCGTGCGGTAGGTCGGGCTCACTGCGCGCGCCCGCCGCCCGCCGTCGCGCCGCCGACAGTGGAAAACTTTCTTCGTGACTTTTCCTCCCGAATATGAAACCGCGAAAAAATTGCGCTCGCGCTTTTGCGACTCGTAGGCTCGGACAGGCTTACCGCGAATGACGTCATTCGGGATATTCAATTAACTTACTCCTTATTGACGGTTAAAGCCTCGCGGACAGTTATGTGATTTTATAGAGCATTTCCGACGTCAATGGACTGACTGTGTTTAACAATGTAAGCCAGGTGACAGAGAGGGTAAAACTTCGCCTATGGATTTAGTAATAAAAAGTCGGTAAAGTTTCTAATTTTTAAATTACCTATTTGATTGTCGATGTGTGCTTTATCGAAAAAAAAATAATCCATAGTTATTGTGCTTGTGAAAAATAAATAATTTATTGCAGTTGTAACATCAGGGTGTGTATTTTGTTTTCACTATATTTAATCTATTTATTTCTTGAATACCTATTTGTTATTTGTGCGTCACGACTTTATTTGTATACCATTCGCGTATACATAACTATTGTTTGACGTAGAGCCCTTTGTGGTGTTGGCGCAGCGCAAGCGTTTGCTTCCGGGCACCGCATCTGCGCTCGCGCCGCTTTCACTTTCTCCTCGTACGCTGCGCCGTATCTCGCGCTCGTTGTTCGTATTCAGTCCGATCTGCAGACCTGCAGTTACGATTCCTTTTTAGTTCATTCTGGATAAATAAAAACAGAAATCATATCTATAATAACTCCATTACACCGTCCATCTGAACTCAAGTTTCATCAGTTAGCATTGCTGAATCATAGTTCGTTTCTATATATAATTCATAGTTCTATGTACCCTAATGCTGCATTCACATAAACTACAAATTTCTATGGCCGCGGTCGCCGCGACGCTCACATCGTGACGCAACCGGCTAATCTAGTCGGCGGCGTCGGGAAGTGCAGTGTCGCGTCCCCGCGTCGCGCCCCGCGCGTTCTAACTACGATCACGGCGTTCGGTCATTGACATTTCACCTAGTTTCTAATTGTTGCATCTACAAACTCTGCGGTACTCCTTTTCATTCTCAATAAGCCCGGAAGGAGTTTGGTGTTTGCATTAATCAACTTCTGTCTGTTCTTAGGCGAGTCAGCCGCCGACACCAGTACGTCGTCGCCGGATCCGGGCCCGCCGTCGCCGCGCATGGCCGAAGCGGGGTGCAGCACGCCGCCGCACCCTCCGCCCGTGTTCGACGGCGGCGGTTCACCGTTGCCATCGCCTGCTTGCCACCCCACCGTAATTCGCTCTGCGCCGCCATATTCCGTCATTAAATTTGAGGGAGCACCATCTGCCATTAAAATAGAGAATCAAACCCCTATGAAACATGACACACCTTCGCCTTCTCAACTCTCCTCGGTGAAGTTAGAAGGCACACCGCAGGAACCACCCCAGCCGTACAGGCCTCGAGTTCTTGCTCCACCACCACCCGGATCACATACATCACTCTCGCCGACTGCATGGCCACCGGCGGCTTGTATCAATGGTGTTAAACCAGAACTTATTGGTGGACATTTCCCAACGCAATCTTTGGAACACAAATCAGGTGCGAGAGGACCCACGCAATGGCGAGGAACGCCGGCAGTCATAATGGGAGAATCAGGTGGAGTACGGACAATGTTTTGGACGTTACCCGCTCCTACTACTAGCGGAGAGCCAGCAGCAAGTGCTTCTCATACTCCAACACCTCCTACTCCCGATCCGACTAACTGCACTGAAGAATCTGCAGCAAGATTGCTTCTGAATCTAGGTGGTGATCTTAGGCGACCGCGGGGACCACCTTTGAATATGGAACTGTTATGGGCCGGTGATGTATCGCAACTTCCTGCGCATCAACAGTTACATGCATTAAATTTAAGTCCTACAGCAGGGAGCATACCAGGTGCATCAGCTGTAGCAGGAGCCAGCGCACTAGCTCTTCCACGACCTGAATTACGTGCCTATGCTCCTGAAGCGGAACGTGATGAGGACGATCAACCTATGATTTGTATGATATGTGAAGATAAAGCAACGGGACTTCATTATGGTATTATCACGTGTGAGGGGTGCAAAGGTTTTTTTAAACGGACTGTACAAAACCGGCGAGTTTATACGTGCGTCGCCGATGGTGGCTGTGAAATTACGAAAGCACAACGGAACAGATGCCAATATTGCCGGTTTAAGAAGTGTATTGAACAAGGAATGGTATTACAAGGTACGTAATAAAGACAGATCCCTACTGTAATTATCAATTGAATTTTTAATAATATCGGGTATGTAAAATTTTAAACTTTTATCACAGCTGTACGAGAGGATCGGATGCCAGGAGGGCGGAACAGCGGTGCTGTCTATAATCTGTACAAAGTTAAATATAAGAAACACAAGAAAGCAAATAAAGCAGCGACGGCGACAAGTCGAGCATCGCCACCTGAAAAACCTAAAGAACCCCTACCACCGCTCCCACCGCACCTTGTTAATGGTACCATTCTTAAGACTGCGCTCACCAATCCTAGCGAGGTAATATGCTCCATATGAAAATACTACGAAAAATATTTAGAATACATTATTCTCCTATCGACTATATACAATTTTTTGCAGGTGGTCCATCTAAGAGCGCGCCTCGAAAGTGCTGTGTCTTCGTCACGGGATCGTGCTGTTCCTTTAGACAGGGCATTACATATGATCCGAGCATTAATCGATTGCGACGCAATGGAAGATATAGCCACCGTTCGACATTTACCAGACTTGCTTCATGATACATCGGAAATTGGTGACAAACTTTGCAAAATTGGTGATTCAATTGTCCATAAAATGGTGGCGTGGACGAAGAAACTTCCATTCATAATGGAAATACCTATGGAAATTCATTCCAAGTTATTAATGGAGAAATGGCACGAGATCTCAGTCCTGACGACGGCGGCTTACCAGGCGATGCATGGGAAGCACGCACACACGCAGCCTTCTTCAGATCATGAACACGATTTTGTACAAGAGGTGAGCATTGTTTTTTTATTAAAATTAGTTTACATAATAAACTATCCATAATATATGTTTATTGCTCGTTAAAGAAAGCAATAAATGAACTAAAGTTTAGAGCGAGTGGCTGGGTGAACTCCAGGTCAAATTCGCTCCAGAGACTTCCGCCATATGCACCGGAGTGCAGTTACGTGATTCGCATCGGCGCTTGCGCAACATCGTAGAAAGTCGCCGCTTGCGCCTACTAAGCTAGCTGCACTCGGACGCGAACACATTCGCTACATAACCTGTATTAGAATCATAAATTTATACATTACATCGTACTTATCTATTCTTAATTATGCAGTGAGTAAATAGAAATTGATTACAATTGTTGTTTATGATATTAGAAATCGAAAGTCAACATAATTAAATCGTGCTTTATTTATCTATCTATCCATCGCAATACTAGATCTTTCACGGGTAGGCAGATTGAACCTAGTGGCTTCCGTCTGTACACACAATTTTTGCCTCATTCCCATTCATATTATATATATTTTAATCTTTAATCTACTAGTAAATATCGTCTATATTTACTCGTAGATTAAAGATTAAAATATATCATAAAGTATTAATTAGGATTATTAAATTATGAAAATACAATTGCATTCTGCAAGTTGCGCTAGGATTACATAAACGGTGCTGTAATACGGTAGTTACAGAAAGTAATTTTCATTGTCTAGTGCAGTTCCTTTTAACTTGCATGTTCGTGGTTACATAAAATAGACATTCATGTTCAATTTTACGTTATCCCTCGTTAACTGTTCATATTATTAATTACCTTAGAGAATGTACCTATTATTTCTAAACAAAATGTTTCGTGTTCAACGTTATGTAACACATTGGCAAGCAATACTACTTTTTACTTACAACTTTGTCGACGTGTGACATATATTACTGGTATTAAAAGTAGTGCCAAACAATATTTAAGCCAAAGTTCATGACAATCATTCATTCCATTTAAAATAATATTAGATGTTCTCTAGGAATTCATTAGCGTTTTTTAGAGATATAATATTATATCACTTTTGTTGGTTCTCGACATACAATCTATCTTTAGACAAAATTTCAATAAGATCGGTACAACCGCAACTCTAAAAAGTTGAAAGTTAACATATAGACAGACAGGCGTATTTTTAATATTTTTATTGTTATTCTTATCCATTTTGTAATATATGTATGTAATAATATAAGAAGTCTGTATGGGCTTGCTAATAACATTACATTGGCCCATACAATCTACAAAGCAAACATTTTATATATATACACAGGACATTAAGTATTATAAATGCAGTTTTGTAATTAATGATTGAATAAATACAGCTGCGACCAAATTGTTTATCGCCCAGCTTTGTATCTAAGCTATAATGCCCAAATGTTAATTTTCAGTTATATATAAAGCTTCATTTTCATCAGGTTAACGCCAACCTGCGGACTCTGCAAAACTGTCTAACGTCGTTAATGGGCAGGCCCATAACGTTAGAACAGCTAAGACTAGATGTGGGACTCGTCGTTGAGAAGATGACACAGATTACATGCGTATTCAGACGTATCCAGCTCAGGATGGAAGAGTACGTGTGTCTAAAGGTCTACATACTTTTGAATCAAGGTATGACAATATTTTAATACTGTTATTATTTATATTCTTTCTTTTGATTATGGAATAAAAAAAAACTATTGATTTTATGGTCACAATCAACTGTGACCTAGTTTCTTTAGAAATGGAACAAACTTTTTCTTTATTTTTAATATAGGATTTCATATTTATACCAATAAACTAGTCTCGACTTCTAAAAAACTTTAAATTTTCCCGTAATCACTAAATTCATTAATATTTTGAATGGTATTGATGGTACATAAAGACTAAACTATAAATAATGTAACTATCGAAGTAATAAAAACATTGAATATCCACAAGTAAGGTTAAAAGTGTACATACTTGTATGTTATTATATTTATTTTCCTTACAATTATTTTATTATACAAGTAGTATTACTAAACTATAAATAAATGTTTTAATAATTATATTACTTACCCCTGATACTCGCTAATAATGTAACATTATGTAGGTGATTTTTTACAACGATTAACATTTCTGGAGTACATCTATTTAAAAAATATCTGACCTTCTCTATACTGGGTTAGACATAAAGAGAATCAATATACTATGTTGAAAATGGTAAATATACATGAAACTCACCAACTTTAGCAATGAAGTAATATGGAAACTTCTTCATACTAACCGTGGAGTCACTAGATCAATTTAGTATGTAAAGTTTAAAATTCTTATATTTATATTCGTAGTTTAACTTTGTTGGTTGGTAATAGTGGTTCAGGGTTCATGAGTATTCTATTATATATATATATATAGATATCGCCTAACTCTATATAATATTATAATAGTTTACAAAAAAAAAACTATTGTTTAACTGTCACAATCAACTACGACCTATTTTCTTTAGAGATGAAACAAAATAAATCCCACTCAGAGCGTCAGCGGACCCTGAAGGGAGAGCTCGCTTCATTAGTTTAGCATGTCAACGCACTGTGGGAAGTAATCCATTTATACTGGACAGGGTTATGACAGGGGTGCATCTAGGTTCATGTAGGTCAGGTCCAGATATCCTATACCTACAAATAAGTTGCTGATTTTGTTTATGTATTTCATTCGTTAGATTAAGCCGTTTAGATATTTATTTAAAGAATACAAATAGAGATAAAATCATCAATCAATTTCCAAAATAAAATTGTTTTTAAACTGTTACAATGAAGCTTCAGTGAGTGACATGTGATCGATAATGTTAAATTTGCAACATAATATTTTCGTTCGAAAATATGTGCGCTAAAATAACTATTTTAGATTTACTATTTAATTTTACATCTTATGCAACTGCATAAGATGTAAAATTCGGAAAGAATAATAAGTTGCAAATTATATCTAAATCGATACATTTATTATTTAAACTTGATTTCAGATATCATACAATATGATAACCTTTTAGTTAAGATATTAGGTACATATGAGTCGCTGTTATTAGAGATGTTATGTGTATTATTATTTTAAATACTATTTATACCGGCTATAATTAACAGGAACGAATAACCTACAGTTCATGTAGGTCAGTTCCAGTTACGCAACTTAGGCATCCAATGTGACGTTCATACTGACTCATACTCATAACACAAAGGTTCAGTGCTCTACTCATAGAGTCTAGCTTATTAAGTATACCGCTACCTATATAAAACATATATTCTATTTCCAACAGAAAATGTAAATCAAATTACATATAATTGTATATTTAATGTTGCAGTTTGAATGTAATTCAATGAAATATTCAAAATTACTTTTAAGTATATGTTGCTGTCATGCAAGTGAAGTGTACAAGCCAATTTCTTTTTTTCATTACAAATATCATACAGTGAGATATTTCAAAGACATTATTATACCTTTTTAGATTCTACTCTATATTATTATCATATTTTATGTTATTTTGTTCAAAACTTTACTTTTGTTCATATATATGAGTGCCTACGACTTTAGAAACTATATTTTGCATATAAAAGCTCCTAAGTCGTCTTACTTAGTCGTTTTATAATTTTCTTATAATATATTTTTTTTATTAAAAAACATCAAATTTTTTTAGAAATTGGTTGCTGGAGATTCTATTTTTTATATAACGCATAACAGTAGGTATAGCTAGAAGTTTCTTAATTCAGAAATTTAAATGGATATATTACATTTAATTTATGAATTTTAACAACGTCATCACTAACATTGTATTTGCGCTATTTGGCGTAAATTACGGTAGCGACAGCTATTCTGAAGTTTGCGCAAAATTATATATCACAGATTTTATGATCTTATGTAACTGTTTATAGAATAAATTTATAATGCAATGACAGTGGTATGTGGTGTTCTAATATGTTTATATAAACCTATTGGTTTCATAAATCTATTTGAGTATAACACATTGAATAAGATGCACCTTGATTATATAAGTATGAAAAATGTAATGACCATTTAAGGCTTTTTTATGTTTTATAAAATTATTTCATAAATTTGTGATGTGTTCTCACGATTCGCAGTTCACGATAAACTTGTAATACTTAGTACTGATAAATTAGTTATTGGTATCTGTCTACATTTAATATAGTGCATCACAAGATTGCTAGTTAGTAATATAGCTACAAGTTTTTATTGTTGCCTTGGCTATGAAACCTTATCAACTCATACTCACCTTACGATCTACAGGCTTCCATAAGTTTATCTGTTTGTCTCTTACGTATACTTAATGATAAATACCTTAAAAGATAATTGCATCATTCATCAAGTGCAAATGCAGTTTAAAAAATTATATTCTTAAGACATTATTAACGAAAATGTGCAGTAAATTAAATTATCTTAACTTACCTTAACCACAGATAACATAATATTACATACATTAACTTCCGTCTCTTAAATTTAACTTATTTATACTAATATTATAATGCTAAAGAGTTTGTTTCTTTCAATGTGCTAATCTCAGTAACTTCTGGTTCAAATTGAAATATTTTTATAGTGTTGGATTCCCATTATAGGCTGTGTAACTTCACGTTGCGAACAATAAGATCGGGGCATCAATAAAAATATTGTAAAAAAAGGGGAAAAGGTGATGCACGGTTCAATTAGTCTCTGATAAAACTTACTATTTTATTAGAATTATTTACTTCAATTCCATTTGACAAATTATGTATGCAAAGACATTAGTTTATTATGTGACAAACGGCGATACGGAGCACTTCGCTCTTTAGTATTATTATGATTTATGATACATGTAACCCAGTTGGAAGTCGTGCTTCGAGAGTCCATACAATTGCGAAATCGATTAGGAGTTCAGACTCGAGCGAGTTGCCGGTGATAACAATTTCACCGGCATTGCTCAGTTTCGAAGCGAAATGAAAGTTTCGAATTCATTCATTTCTCTGTAACAAATACAGCGCTTGTAGAATCTAGTCAACATACATTTGTATATACGTTAGCTTTGTATATAAGGTTTAGCGGTTTGCCACTTATAAAACGAAATAAATATTTAAATATCTTATGTTTTATTAACATTACTGATTTTTTATAAAATGTTGTAGTCGTTTCATATATAATGGAAATTTTTACTGCAGTACGAATATTGATTTCAACAAATATTTCTTCGATTTTTCTCTTTGAAACGTAACTTAGATATTATGAATTTTAATGTGCAGGCAAGTCTATTATTATTTACATATGATATATATCTATCAAATTGGATAACAAATCAATCAAACAAATCTTCATATATTCAACAAATTCAAATACTTTTTGGATTAAATACCTATCTATCTTAATTATATTAATATGTTTTTTTTAATAACTATACTTGTATAACCAAATGTAGTTTGAGCAACAAACAGAATGCTTTATTAGGTGACTAGAAATATAAAACCCAAGCAAAAATAGAGAATAAGGAATCCTAAAATGCTGTCGGAGCTCTTCGAATTCAAACTTAACTCAGTGCATTTAAATTGATATAGATAGATACGTGACTAATAGTTAAATAACAATATTACATATGAAAATAGTGCAACACTAATGTCCTAGTATTGGGGAAACTATGACATCCTGCGTTATCGTACACTGTAACTGGGTCGCCCGCACACGCCATGTTTGAAAATTATTTTCACTGCGTACACGCATTCGTGTTACACTACTTATCAAACTATGAAAGCACTAACTAGTCATTGTTGTTGGTACCTAAATGTGTCAGTGATAATACAACGATAATATATCCGTCTCTTAATAGTTTGTGTAACGTAGAGAAAATATATACACAGTCTATTTTATACTTTTTTTTAGCTATATTTATGTAAGCATATGTTCGTTTGTTTTATTAGATTGAAAATTTGAACAGAGACACTTACCGCTTTTATAACTTGTACGAATAAAAAACTATGGAGTCGCACCTGTACATACTTAATTTAGTAATAATAAAATTTGTACATAACGTTTTATTAATCTTTATGCTTCAAGTATTATAGTGTACTACATATTACAATATGTGAAAATTTCTTGGTTATATTAAATTAATGCAAGCTTTGTCGTACCAAGGACTTTAATAGAAAATTATAGATCGCGCTCACGGCTTTCAGTCGCACTTTTTATAGCACATAACTATTATATTTTACCTTCACCAGAAATTTTTTCTTGCAATATTAATCAGTATAATTCTACTGGCTTTGGTCTAATTGTTTAGAATTACACATTCAACATATCGTCATGACCGATACTAAAAATAAAAACTTTGTTTCAAGTAATATTTCTGACTGACTCGGAGAGATAGCGGTCCGCTAGTCTCTTACTCCTCTGACTATATGTTTCTTTATTCTACTATTATTGCTCAGTAATATCAGTGCGATACACACCTATTTTACAAATAATAACTTTGGCATCAAATTACAAATGTCATGTAGATATGTCAAGTGTTTATTGTAATAAACAAGTAGATATCTTGTTACAGAAACTAAAAAACAGTAGTCGTAAAAAACATGACTATTCAATATATCTTCTTAAACGACAGTTATGTAGTTTCTGGATAAAAAAAACTATATATTTGTATGTACTTCGTGATATTTAGCGGTGCATTATGTGCAAAGTGAAATGGAAAGCGTTTACGCAACTTTCGTTGCTTCAATAGCATCGAAGCGTTTCTTTTTTATGCATTTCAAATACACTTAATGACTCTATATAGTTATAACATTTATTTAATGTATGAAGTAAAACATCCCATAGTTAGCCACTTCTATTTATAGTTTGCTAAATTAACTAGGTATCTGAATATTATTGTTTTCTTACTTACTTATTTCTAATAATATACCTAATACTTCTCAATATGCTATTAGAGTGTCATTTTACTTTTTTCTTATGTAACTAGAACGGCAAAATAACTATATAATCCTATAATATGTGATACTGTCGCCTATAATAATAACAAACCTGTTCAGTCCCTACAGCGCTATCTAGTCGCAAACTTGTGTTATTGTACTAAACAACTGATATAAACAAAAATACATTTTTAATAAGAATATACAGATTATATATAGGAGGAGAGAGAGGTAAGAGAGGCATCCTGTGATTTCATTGTCTTTTATCACCCTCTAACCAACACTTACAAATGAAGCTGTATTGCAACTGTTAAGTGAGACGAAGATACCAAATCTAACGACTTCGTACAAAGTGTAATTCAGTGAATATCATAACTTCCGCGTTTTATTTTATTCACAAGTGTTTATGCGAATTTGCCTACATAACATCCATTGCAATCTGTTATCATTTGATTACATATTACATAAAATACGAACAAAAATAAACACACCGTCCATAAACTAAACAGTCGCATAATAACATGCCTACTATTAGTATGAATGTTGAATAGTTACGTCAGTTGAAATGGGACAGCATTTCACTCTCAGAGCGGAAAGCACGACGCGGAAGAAAAACTTTCTCTTTTGCGCAGCGCGGCGGGCGCTTGAAAAAAGCGCAGATTACGCCTACCGACCTCGCAGCGCTCGCGTCATTCTATGATACTGCGCCGGTACCGTTGCAATTCGCAGATTGACTTTTACGTCACATAATTGATTAGTAACATCGAGTAAAGAGTATTCTATATGTTAATTCAGCGTACGATCTATCTATAGGTATAGCATATGCCTCAAATAGTGTTTCTTGATATTGTAATATTTTTCTATCTATGATCAGAATATGTTATTGCTATGAATTATAATCGTATTTGAATACACGTTATTATTATTATGGATAACACACTATGGAAAACGCCTGATTCTCGATGCATTTTTTAACCAAATTACGCTATTTACATTCTGAAAAATGCTTATAAGGCAGTAGGTTGCAGTACGATTTTAATAAAACAGTAAACACGTCGGACATATTAAATGAAGAAAGTGCTGTAATATTACCTAATAAAATACTCGACTATGTTAAAATTATGTACATTTCAATCTAAAAGATGCTGTAGCTGCATCAAACGACACATATAAAATTGCCGAGCATACAATACAGTGGATAAACGCGCGCGCCAGAAAGAGACGACGACAGTTTGTGAGCAAGCGCTCTCGAGCGGAGGTCAACGGCTAGCCGCGGTCGTTGCCCTGCTATCGGAGTGACCTACTGAGCGCGTGACGTCACCGCCGCACCGCGCGCTCGATGGCATTGATTAATAACTACCATGCAACGCCATCTAGTGGCGAGTAGGGATCACACACACAAATGTAGTTGAGAAAATTTAAATAAATATTACATAGTAATAAATTTGAATAGTTAACAATTCAATTTATAAACCATGTTGACTATTTTAAAGCCCAAAATATTAATATTGTATAAGTTATAACATTGCGAATGTATCTATTACCAATGCCTACTTATGCCAGTTCATGGCCAGCAGGTTACCATCCGACATGCAAACCGTGATTACATGCAGTTTTATACCTACCTAGGACTTAAGTAAGCTAACTTAGAAAAAAATACCCTTATAAATATGGGTATATTCAATAATATACTTGTAATATTATTTACTTCTTGTTTTCGATTTAAAAAAACATGACTGCTTTTCATCTTTTTAGTTATAAATTTAAATGTATGGTTTTAATAATTCCGTTTATACCATTGTTTTATATGAATTGTTTCGCTATTGTTTTTTAATTTATTTCGTTCTTTTTATTTAAATATGCAAATTTAATTTATGCAGTCTAAAATATTATTTTTAATTAATATTTTTATTACAGAAGTCGAGTTGGAGAGCATTCAGGATAGGTATGTGCAGGTGCTACGAAGTTACTTGGAACACGCAGCTCCGCACCACCCCGGGCGGCTTCAGGAACTCTTCGCCAGGATACCCGAGGTAACTCTAAATAATAATATAGCCTTAGTCAATTCATACAGCGCCAACTACTCCCAAGCTAAGCAGAGCTTGTATTACGTATAATGGACAACTGACAGAAATACTTAAATACATGTATACATTTTAAACATAGAAAACAACCAGAGCAATACGAAGAATCGTACTCATGAATACAAGGAACGAATCCGCGACCATCAGAAGTAAAACTGAACCGCAAAACCACTGAGGCCATCATAAAAATTAATTTACGTGTCAATGAATATACCTACCTAATTTTTATAAGGTCTGCATGATATAATGGCTAACCTGGACTTAAGTTATTGCATTAAATTTAGTATTCTGTATTAGGTGGAACAATAATCAATAAATAGAAGGTTGCCATGCATAAGTGACTACAAATGTCTTCTGTGACAACTCTAAAATTATATTAACCTAAACATTGTCAATAATATCTATTAAATTAATAATATGATTATTCATTTAATAGATATTATTGGCTATATACATATATTATTTATAGATATTATTAGAATAGTTATTAAATTATTTTATTTAATTTCTTTATAAAATGTTATTAATAAATTTTAGTTCCAATCACTTTTGCTGCTTGTTGTTCCAATAAACCAGTTACAATTTCAATAGAAAGTACACGGTTCGGTTCGCTGTACTCATTCGTTTTCACCATCCACTTTCAGATCCAAGCCGCTGCAAACCTATTGCTCGAAAGCAAAATGTTCTACGTGCCCTTCGTGTTGAATTCGGCTGAGATCAGATAGTATATGGCACAACAGGGTGTATAGTTCTCGATGTACGAGCGGCTTACCCCTCGCCCGAGCCCACGCCGCACCCTCGTCTTATGATCACCGCACATAGAACCACCCTGTGTTCAGAGCACCGGTCCAGCACAAGTTCGTACAAATGTTACTCGGGCACATAGACAATGCTGTTCATTCAGCACTTTAGTTCTTGACTTTATGTGAAGTTATTGCTCGCAAATGCAAACATAACGATTTAAAAGTAGATCTACTCGTAATAGCACTAAGGTTTATGATCAGATAGCAAGGAGTGTGAACTACGAGGGACGAGTGGTACAGACTTTCGCGGGCTCCTCTGTGTTAGAGCTGAAGAAGTGCACACAGTCAATTCTCCCCACATTCAGTATGTACCTACGAGTACCTTCTTTTGTGAGTGACAGTTAAAAGCACGAGAAAAGTGCGGTACGTTTTATACCTTTGTTGAATCGATGTGTGAATTGGTTTTATTGTTTATTAGAGGAATTAAAACGTCCCAATCGACAGACTGATTTATTATTAAATACTTAGTGATAAGAACCAGGGACTTGAATGCGTGTTTTATACGTGGTAGTGTATACTACATAGTGTTAAATAGAATAAAATATATAATTATGTTACTATTTAATTATGTCAGATGGAGAATCGCATAATATATTATTTCTGTAAATATAGAAAATAGTTTATATAATAAGATGTTGTTTTTAAACAGAATTGTTTCTTGTAAATGGAATATTGCTGTTTTAGTTTGCATTTTGTATCCTCTAGGATTAACCACTAGGGTATATTGCTGGGTGTGTAATATTGAAAGTTTTAATTTAATTTTATATGACTTGTTCATATTAATATAAGTAGCACTAAGTACCTACTCTCAGTTTTCTAAGACTGCTTGTTTACATACAACTACTGTTTTTCAATAACTAATACGGCGTTCATTCGCACGGTTCTTGTAGTCACAACTTAAGTATGCATTTTTATTGCCAATATTTTCGCATAACACTAAACTTGTTTATATGTTATGTCCTACAATATACTTCTCTTGATTCTGGTCTAACTAGGTGTAAGTAACCGGTTCTACGTGTGTGTTTGTCACTTGTTTCATTGTTATGTCCGCGTGCACTTACATGATAAATAACACTGTTTGGTTCCACAATCCACATACGTGCAATGTTGTTTTTGGACTCATACCAAATATTCTATTCGAATAGGATGAATTTTGAAGCAGATAGATGTGTGATATTTTCCACTTTTGTGTTTTAGTCTTGCTACTTGCGTATAGGTGCTTGAGAATTTTACCAACCTTATTTATGCTCTGCTTCCTTTGATGTGTTCAAACGTAAATTGTGCTCAATCTTTTAATATCATTTTAAACATACTCAGTGTTATTGTCATTTTTATAATCAAACAATCCAGAAAATTCTAATTCTAAATACTACTAGTGCTATTGTAGTATATTAAATTTTGACGTGGCTGATAATAATGATCTCTAATCATTTATACCCCACTAATGTTGAAACCTCGCCAGTCATTCAATTTGGTGTTTGTTTTCACACAATTAAAAGTATCTATAATGAATATCGATGTAAGTACAAACCAATACGGTATTAAATATGTTTCTCTACATCATGATTAAATCACTTTCATTCATTATGACGATCCTAAGCAAGTTATTTTTCATTCAAATACACAAACTTCAAGTGTACCTACTTCTCATAAAGCTGAATAAATTTCCACGAGGAACATAGATCAGAAGGTTCAACAATTTAAGACTATGTAAGTACGTATTTTATTAAAAGTGGTTACTTCAGTTTTATGAATGCTACTACTGAAGCCTGTATGGATTTAGTTCTCATTATTACTGACCCTAAAATAAAACTGTCAAATTTTCAAATACCTCTACTTAATATCACAGAAAACCCATGTAACCTATAGTTAGTTTATGAATAATAATAGACTTTTCTAATCTTACACTGTCAATGTCACTGCCTGTTTTCTTTATAGTCGTTATCTGCCGTTATCGTTAATAATTCTCATATTAATCGTTAATAATAAATTTGTAATAAACGTTCCAACAACGGTGAACAGTTACCTTAGTATAGGAATGGCAGTGTATGCCTATTAAAATTAAGTAATACAACCAAAAAGTTCGTTCTAGGGACTTAGGTTCTAGTTAATTAACAATATGCCTTAGCATTATCACGATGTAAACACAATGACAATATAATTTGTCTAAATCTAAAGCACACAGATATCGGAAGACAATTTATAAAAATTGTCTGTAATTTAAATCGTTTTTACGAAACTTGTTTTCATGCATAGAAATAGAAAGGCATAGCACGATAAGCTTGAACAGCCTTATAAGTTATTTATACGTACAATTGTACATACATGTCGACCCCTTTCCATAGATCAGGAATATAATATATTAATAAGCGTAGTCGATTTTATACAAGAATTTAGGTTCATTTTCAAGCTAGTCTTTTTACAATTTCTGTTTTCATGCAAACAATTGCGTCACAGGTATTAAATTAACTCTAGACTTAAGTATTTTGTAATCTCAAATAGTATTCAATCCAGTTTTACCGAAATTCCAACAAAAAAAAAGAATAGGAGATTCAGAGGGAAGGTCGTTAATGAATGTGCATGACAGATGGTTGAATAACCTAAAATATTATATAATAAAATATAAATATGTTATTAATATATGCACCCGTCTGTAATTTGCGTATATTTATGTGTATTTGTTATATTATTTACAAATCTGGCCGTCCTCGTAGAAGGATTTTAAACCTTACCTTACTTACGCTTGCCTTTCTAAAGGGGTCTTTAAATTTGCGAATCCTGTTACCTGAATGAGCGACACACGTCCGTTCCTCACGTGTTACCATTAGTTACATAAGTGTTAGTGGATATGAAGCGTGTTTTGTAAATTTTAATTAGTTTGAATACAATCAGTAACCAGTTACGATACTGCCATCAAATGCCTAAATAGTTTTGAATTAATTTGTTATACTTTATGTACGTTTTAGTTTAAGATAATGAAGTTGATGAAATTATTAGTTAATTGTGATAATTAAACAGTGATAGTCTAAATGCACTGTCGCAGTAAGTACGACTGCGCGTTCTTAAACGCGGTCCGTTCGGTCTCAGAGCTATAGTGATCTTGGTCTCCGCGGTTATTTTCACGACAATTGGTAACACTACATTTATTTATTTTTATCTAACTTAATTTTAAAAGAAACATTAGTTTATAAAACACCATCAAATCGACGGTGTTAAATCTAAAGTCTGAGGTAAAGATGCCTTTATAGATTTTTAAACAAGTAACGACGGAAATCGTAAATAAATATTAACGAGAATCGTGCATCGTTCTACTAATATATTAATGGTATATATATATGTAAGTAATATTGACACTTATTTTGTTAGTATAATAGCGTTAAGGCGAAACTAACGGCAGTGTATCAAATGGGATTAGAGTTAAGCATGTTATTGGCGTTGTACAAAGGATAGTATTGTTAATAAATCAAATTGGCGCATTACTGGCGAGTACCTAATTAGTTGATAGTACACGAAAGCCCACAGAGGCTATACATTCATATGTAACTATATGATAATCAACGTGTAAAATGGCCACTCGCAAATTTCATTGCTCTTCTAAATTGTTTGCTGCGTTTCGTTTATAAGCTTTTTCGCCTTTTTAATACTTTGGTACTTCTAACGTTGTCAATGACTGATTGAAACAAACTAAATTATTAACAATAGTTTGCTTCTGCTTGCTGTTATGATTATTTAAATGTTTTCATAATGTTAGTTCTCTGATCTTGTTGTTAGAATCAGACAGTCCCGTTAGCTTTTGAAATGCTCGTGTCTGAGATGATTGATGTTAAGTTTATAATCAATAAACATAAGACACCATATACAAATATAAAATACATTTAGTTAATTGTAAACTGATTAACTTTATAAATGACTGTGTATGTACGTGTACGTGTACGTACGTGTGTACTGTACGAAATAATGTGACAAACTGTAGCAACAGTTACATATAGTCGAAGCCTTAATAAACCATGTTAAATATTTTTAATACACATGACATCATCCAGGCAAGAGTAATCCAACAGCTGATGAGTAGATAATACTGCGAAAATATTTTGACTGATAAAATAGTAATTAAACATAATAATGTTAATAATTTAATGTAAGGATGTAACAAAAACTTAATGCATTTCACAGTTTCCTTACAGTCCATAAGAGAATAGTTAGTTACGCCGTAAGATATCGTGATGAAATATTTTCACATTCATAGCATAAGGTTTGTTGTGTATAAAAATAGCGTTGCATGTATTTCGGGTAAAAGAAGGGTTGAAATTGTGTACATTAGACATTGTAATAAATTAGTTATGAATAACGAGTGTAAATCTGTAAGAGAATATATATTTGGAAACGTTGACGAGTGTTTGTTGTATGTAATTCGTGTCACAGATGGTTACTATAGGTACATATTAGATATCTATTCTACGAGTTAATCTTCATAATTTATTCAACAGTAATCGATATTTGTTGCGAAACAAACACGTTTAGCTTCTGTTCTTTCATCGTTATTGAATTGTATAATATCTATCTTTTATGATTACTCAACTCTTTTACATTAGAAATAAAACAGTCTATTTTTTTGTACGCATATCGATAAACATCAAAAGCTTATCTTTAAATCTTTCATTGATGTTTTCAGATTTGCGCCTCAAGCACCGATTGTAATATACAATATGACTTAAATCTGAGCTTCATCACACATGCACATGTTCACATACTCAGTTTATTGATATATTAAAAAAAACTAAGTATATGTTACCCTAATTTATTTCTGATTCGAACATGTATCTAAATTGAAATAGCATTGATATTGTAAAAAAAAATATTGTCAGTGCCATAAAAGCATTTAACACTGGAGGAGTACTTACTCAAATAAAATAAAAATTGCATGTATTTATAGATTTAAAATTGGGTTCTGCATACTGTTATTTAACAAAATATGCAGAATCGACTGAAATGAGTGTGATTATAATAGAGTGTTATTATACTGTCAAGTATTTATTGTATATGTACAGCTAATTCAATGTATTATTGTATTATCTATTTATCTACAAATTTATGTGGTTTTCACATCACTTTAGTCATTGCAATACACGTATTGCGTAAATGAGCAATTATAACTTTGTCTTCTTACCTTTACTCATAACTTACGATAAAATGTACATATGACCATATATATTTGACAGACCCTCTATTGCTCCTATCAGTGTAGAAATCTATAAATCGCGCCTCCCGTGTTATTTGATATCATCCAAAATCAGTCGAATATAATTTTTATACACCGTATGCATAAAGTGACTCAAAATAGACTTACTTTATCGAAATAGTGACAACACTGTTTAAGGATTTCAATTTGTATGAGTGTGCTGTTTCACGTATTTAGTTGGGCTCGCTCAATACCAAGACTTATCGCTTTCAGATCTAGCATACTTTTAAGTATTATCAATATCTAGAATTCTATGTTTATACTAGCAAATCACATTAGTTGCTGACTGCAGTACTGTTCTCGAAGGAAAGGCTGTTATACGACCAAGTTAGATGACTGTAAGTGGTACTAATTGTTTTGTCTCGTTTGAGTGGTGCGCCGGTCGTTAGTCAAACGAAAGTACGGTTTGCCAAGAGAAGTTACCTACAGTTGTGTTTAGTTAGCGATGCATAACGTGTTTGTACTTTAATTTGTTTTTTAGTTGTACTCTTGGAAATCAATGGTTAATAATTTAAGAAAATAAAATGTATGTGAAATACGATGACTTTTAACTTTAAACCCAGTTAATCCTACGGAACCACTAGTCTCCATCTACTAGCGACTACCTTCATTCAACACAGTTGACACAAAATACAGATTTTGTCTAAGTTAGCCGCTTTTGTTTTTGCTGACTACATGTTTCTTTATTATGAACATTTAGGTCGAATAATCACTTAAAACGACGACGATACGCTAAAATAATAAGGAAGAATTCTAAGATACTGTCCAATCAATCCGAGTATCGAAATTATTTTAGAAATCATCTATCGTTTCTAGCCCCATGTGGCGAAGCAAAACCAAATCACAATATGACGACGAAGGTCCATATCTTAAGCACTCCTGTGTAGGCAGTAGGTAGTTGCAGAGACCCCCGTCTCTTTATCCCAGCTTCTACTACGTAGGCGACATCCTCTGGATCTATCTGATTTGGTAAGATGTAAGTAGGTACTCATAGATATATACAGAAATGTCCAAATTGCGTTTCAAAATGTATTTAATTACAAAATGTACTTCTTCCAATTTCAATACAGAATACTAATTCTCACCTTGTATTTTAACAATATAATATTTTCAAAATAGGTACTTCATTAAAATAAAATACCCAAATAAATTTCAACTTCCTTTATTTTATTAGTAAACAAGTCACTATTTTAACCAACTGGATTGCGTCTAGAGTTAGACAATCAGTCAGTTTAAAATATATATTCAGAAGTAAACATTTCAAAATTATGTCGTAACACTCTCAAAGCTATCGCATAAATGCGTCACAGCTCTTTTAATGTTATCGCGGCGTTTATAAACGCGCCGGGATTCTCATATCGACCTCACTACTCTTATAAAGTAGTCGCTACAGTGTTAAGAGCATAACCGCATCGCGGCTTTTATAAAGGTGCCCATAAGGACCGTCGCGACGCATGAAGCGTTGTAGCGTCTTTTATAACTGCATTTCACTAGTATATAGTTATCGTGATACTTTTGAAGACGTCACCACACTTTAAAAGTACTTATCGCAACCCTTATAAAAACATCGCAGCGGCTTTATTTAAGTCCCTTCGCTTATAGAGGTGTCGCAATTTACACTCGACTCAATATCCACCTGACTCATGAAAGGAGGCAAAATATTTTTAAATATTTGTTATACATCATATTATTATAAATGTTAAGGTTACCTTTGTTAAAAATATAATGAACATTGTCTTTATTTCATTATTGTTAATAAATCGGATAGAGCCATCTAGTCAAAAGCGGCTAAACTACTAAAATTAGGAATAAATATTGGGCCTTATATTGCTAATAATACAATTGTAGACATTCGTCTGCTAGAAAACTAATTCATCTACACCTAGATGGCAAACATCGGACAAGAACTGCTTGAATATACAAAAGATTTTTTTGCAACAATATGGATAATATTTACACCACAATGAAATAAATTGTTTCCACATATTCTCTTTTACTGAAATTATATGTTTTTTTAATCTGTAGTACTATCATTCTGTCTGTCAGTCGCTCAATGACAGTATGATTGTTCAGATTATTCTGTCATTGTCAAACATAATTCTCATCACGGCTTCGCCACATGTAAAATTTTAATTTTGTAATAATTCACAATATAAATTAGCAAATAACCACAAAAATGGCAAGTATTTAAACTTAACAGTTATTCAAACTCAGCATAACATACTAAAATTAATTTCTAGCTAAAAATTGTCTTTCCTCTAACCATTACTAATACCTTTAATGTTTTGATGCGTCTTGATGATGACCAATTATTTTTACAGAAACCCCTTATGTTGCAAGGGCATGAGCGTGCCATAACGCAAATCAAATATAATCGTGAAGGAGATTTGTTATTCTCGGCTGCTAAAGACTCTAAACCGAATGTCTGGTGGTCACTAAATGGCGAGCGGCTCGGTACATTCAATGGTCATGGCGGTGTAGTGTGGTGCTTGGATGTAGATTGGCAAACTATAAACCTGATCACCGGCGGTGGCGACAGTTCTTGCAGGTTTGTACAGTATAGCAGTACATATTCAAGGAAATGTGGTCAAACAATAACTTATTTACCTGACGCCCTTGTAAATGAATGTATGTATTATTATATTACTTTTAGTAACTGTATAATATTATTAGTGATTGATTACGATATAGTAATAATTGTTAAAATATCAACTAGTTTGCTTTTGTAATTAGCCATTGTGATTGAGATAAAAAATTGACAATAATTCATGTCTGCACCCAATTTTATCATTATAAATATTATATGTGATTATTATTACTATTTTCCCTACACATAATGCAATCATAAGAATAATTAATATAGGCAAAATACACAAAATAAGTATTCAAGTGCATATGGAAATTCTGTACATATGTAAGTAATTAAGTAAGTACCATAAAAATCATACACAGTATTGTATGATGTAGTAATCATATGATATTTTATACAGATTATGGGACCTAGAAACTGGAAAGAATATAGCAACAATTAAGACAAATTCATCAGTGCGAACATGTAACTTCAGCTTCAGTGCATACCAGGCTGCCTACACTACAGATAAGGCTATGGGACATCCCTGTGAGGTATGGATGACTTTGTTTGTGTTAAAAAAATATGGCATAATAGCTACAAGAATATTCAATGGACAATAAATTATTAAAAACAATTAAGAAATTTTCATTAATACTTTTGAGAATTCACTTTATTTTTAAATAAAGAACTTTAGTCTATAATAATATTTGACAAGTAACAAAAATACATGATATATTTTCCCATCTTGAAGACAGTTCAAGGTTCTGGTTATTATCCTAAATCAATATGATGGTATATCTATATGTACAGTGACAGTAAATTGGAATCTTCAAAGTGTTTACAAAGAAAAATAACAAAGTATTACTTAATCATATGTTGCATTGTAATTAAAGTTTGACTATTACATTATTATATAATGATATAGCATTACAAATATACCCCAATCTTCCCTAAATGGACAAACAAGTACATATATATAACTAATCTGTATAATCTTAAATCTTACAAGATTTCCAACCGTTTAATCCATCAGGAAAACTATTGGAATCTTTTATTCTTAATTATTTACCTATTGCATTTATGTTGCAGGTTTTTATAATTGACACAAGGACCATTGATGACTCAATCTCCACCCAATCACCTATCCTGAAATGGGAAATCACAGATTCAAAGGTGACATCCATGGTATGGGGAACTCTAGATGAGACAATCATCACAGGCCATGAAACTGGGGACCTTATTCAATGGGATCTTAGGGTAAGGATAATTTCATGTAAAAATCAATAAATATTTATTTCCGATAGATCATGTAAAAACATGTGGGATAATTCAGAATAATTTAACTAAAAGTAGTAAACACATTCACAATAATAAAGACATTCTGATACTATAAGGGTATGCCTACACATTACATTTCCATATATGTATATATTGCTTATATGTTCCAATATCACTGATTGGGATTGTGTGAACTGATGTAACCAAAAAAAGTTAAGTTAGAATGACATACATGATTTATTTTGATGTGATACACTATAAAATATCCTAAGTAATATAACAGATAATAAGGTATGTCCTGATCATGTTTCTTCCTTATCCAATTTATTTGGGATCGGCGATAATAAGCTATCATATAGTCACATATTTTTCTTAACAAATTCACTAGCATACTAACTCAGTGTTGAGCTAATTGACAAATATTTGCTAAATTAGACCTGCAAACTCATTTACCTTATGTAGCCAATATTGTTACTTCTCATTTGGTATTAACACATTTCCTTGTAAATTAAAGAATCTACATATAAATGTAATCAATTGAAATTGTTCCTTACCTTGTGCCATGTTCTAATGTAATGCAATTATTAATAAAAGTAACCATTTTTATCAAAATTAAATCCCTACATTATAGTTCACTTAACATAGCGCCTCTAACCTCTGGGAACTGCAGACTATTAAGATTTTTCTTGTGGAGTACCTTCTAGTAATTAACAAATTTTTAGAATTTTGTTTTCTTATTGAAATGGTTAAAATTAATCCTAGCACAATTTTTTTTACTTTAATAGACTGGGAAGAAAGTACATTCCATCAAGGAACACACCCATCAAATCAATGATATGCAGTTATCCCGAGATGGCACCATGTTTATCACAGCTTCCAAGGACCAAACTGCTAAGCTGTTTGACACCAGCTCTCTCGAGCTGTTGAAGGAATACAAAACTGAGCGCCCAGTTAACTCTGCTGCTCTCAGTCCAATTCTAGACCATGTGGTTCTTGGTGGTGGCCAAGATGCTATGGAAGTAACCACTACCTCAACAAGACAGGGAAAATTCGATGCTCGATTCTTCCACTTGGTATTTGAAGAGGAGTTTGGACGTGTCAAGGGTCACTTTGGACCCATCAACAGTTTAGCCTTCCACCCTGACGGAAAGAGCTACGCTTCAGGTGGTGAAGATGGTTATGTAAGAGTACAGAGTTTTGATCAGTCCTACTTTGATTATACTTTCGATTACAACAGAGACTAAGACGATAAGAGATTTGTTGGTTACCTCTATTGTATGAGAAATTCATATTTGTGAACAATTTATTAAAATAAAATTACTATTATATCAAATTGTCACAATATAAATGTTTTATTTCAAACCCTAACAATTTATGGATAGATTAATTTCAAATATGCCTATATACATTGGAATTTTTTACATAGCATCTACAAAGTGCTATATCGCTACATAATAGTTGCAGTACAAAACATTACTTTATTCCGATGAGTACACTAATAACATAGGATTACACTTACTGCAGGTATGTTTACTCTAGTTTAGGTAATCGTAGCAATCAACTTGGGCTCATTTGCAAGTGGGAAAAGGGTGGGAGGGATTGTTTTAGTAAATATTTTTCAAATTGATATAAATTACTTTCGTCAATCTGTCAAATAATTTCTTTTATTTTTTTTTTAACAAAGTTACTACTACAGCTACTGTTGCATAGTATGTAATATTTAGTCAGGTGAAATAAATTAATTTAATACATAAATATTCAACAATTTATTGTACAAAATATTAATTACAATTGGGAATACTTTTACTGTCTTATGAGTATATCTATCACTGAGCTTACAGAAAATACGGGGTGGTATGTTGAGGTGGTACTTCTCTCTCGCTATCTGGCACTGCTTGGAATAGTTTAGCAGTTCTGTCGTTTACAGTCTCGAATTCCAATATGGCCGCTATATTACCACATCGGTAGCAGTAATTTGGTGCTGACCAAACAGTGATCAATCGTCGGTCAAACATATATTTGTAACCTAAAAAAAAATTTCTATATAAATCTTAACGAATTTTATGTGCATGTTCATAATTTTTTTTATCTAAAGACAATTCACACAGTGCCATCTAGTTAGTCCAAAGTTAATCTGCCTAAAACTTGTGTTATGGATACTAGATAACTGATAAATGCATAGATTTTGTTTTCGTAAAATATATAAATATTATACATAGAAAACACCCAGACCGATACAAAGAATCATACTCATATATGTCTGTAATTTATATTAGGTATTATTCAATGTATCTAATGAGAAAATTACATTAATAATCTAGTCTCTACATTCCCGATTATTCTAGTCATTATTAATATAATTTTATCTCTAGTCCCAAGAATAAGCAGAGCGTGTGTTATGGGTACTAAACAACTGATATAAATACATAGATATTGGTTTAAATAAATAGAAAACAACCCGACCAATTATTCTTAGTATGTATTAATATAATTGCTATCTCTACGATCAGGTCTAACTCCACGTCTAAACCATCGTGTGTGTTTGTCACGATGGGTACTAAACAACTTCATAAAAATACACCCGCCAGATACCGTTGGTTTAAATAAATATAAAACAAAAAAAACCCGACCAATAAAAACAGTCATCTAAGGAATACAAACGTTTGTGCCATGCGAGGAATCGAACCCGCGACCATCGGAAGTAAGGCGATGTGCTAAACTGCTAGACCCCTGAGAAACAACTGTAAACAGAAAATCTGTTTAGTAAAATAAACAGACTTTGTAACACAAAGTCATCACATCACACAAAACAATTATGAATTTTGTAAATTGGGTCCATATGTCGATGGTATATAGTGGTTTTATTATCAACCACATATGAACCACTACAATAGTACTCGTATTTATATTGTACTTTTAGAGCAAACAATACTCTTGTTTGTCTTGTGAAAACATAATTATTCTGCCGTGACGAGATAAAGATATATTTCTGCCGCTTCCATTAAAAAAAAAAATTACATCCTGCTTATTTCTCTTATACTAAAGATATACTTGCCTTCATTTACGAGCTGATGAGCCCTACATATTAAATTTAGATTGTTGTAATTCATAAACAGTTCTGTTACATATCCACCAAATAACCAACCAGCTCCTCGGGGACTTACAGACCTGAAATAAATGCAAATTGTGCAATCAAAATAATATATTGGTAAATAAAAGGGTTAAATATCGTACCTAGGCTAAAATGCTGTTTTCTGTGACAATATCATTAGTGGCAATAAATATATATACATACTCTGGGATACGGCGATAATAAGAAAGTGTTGTATGACGAATTATATTATTATAATTATAATATGAATAATCATTTATTTAAGACATTATATTTAAATATAATGGATTAATTAGAATTAAAGTAATGAGAGAAAACTTACCACATTTTTACATCAGCAGGGTCAGACCATAACAGATCACAGAAGGCTCCTTTGTGTGGAATTTGTTGGTTCCTATCAATGCACCGTATCTGATCTAACATTGATATTTCTGGAGATAGACCACCATGGACACATAGAACTGTATCATCTATTAACTGAAACAATATACTATACAATATTGTTGTTTACCTGCAACTAGTTTTAATAATCTATAAAGTTGTGTATAGTAAGAAAATAAATAAAATAAAACATATTTTAAGATGAACTTCTCAACTGTTTTTGTAGTTTAAGACACAAAACAAAGCTTGCTAACACATATTATCTACTCCACAATATTGTCATAAGCTCACTGCATTCATAAAACATTGTAACAAAATTGTTTATAAACAATATTTGATTTCAAAATTCCTATTAAGTACAGTTTTCATACAGTATTTTTTTTTAATAATCACCTGCCACTTGCATGATAGTGTTTAGCACAGAATTTTTTTTTTGTGTATGATAATGGAATGGTGCACCCGCCTGCGCCAACGGTTTACGCTGGCAGGGCACCAGTGGAGGATGACAAGATGAGCATGAGGTCAGGTCAGTTAGCCCATCGTGACAAATTCACCAAGAATTCCTCACAATGGTTTCCAGGGAGAACTGCGTGGAGGTCGACTTAACATGGTATGTTGCTATCAATAGGAGTTACTAGTTCCCATTGCTAACAATCCCCTTCCTTTAGTCCCAATATGTTTGTCCATATGCATGCACTATTTGAGAAGCATTGTAAGGTGAAGAATTGTTAAGGGCCTTACATTACAATAAGTTATGCAGTGTTCAGAATTATTACAAAACAAATTAGAATATATTGATATAATAAATATACATACAGCTGCTACTGTGAGTAAGTCAAAAACTCTGCAACAATCTTTCCAAGCATTTGCATTTCCATATTTATTAAGACATTCATCATAAAAACCATATACTTTTGTGATTTGACATGTTTCATGATTCCCTCTTAGTAAAACAATCCTGAAATAAATGCAAATTATAGAATCAATATACAAATGTAGTATAACAATTCTTGTCCATCAATCATCTTTTCTAGGATCATAGTAATAGTCGCATTGTGAAAATTTAAGCAACTTATATGCAAGTAGTTTTGTTGTTTCGTGTTGTGTTCGTGTAATATATATTCAATACATACAGGCAATAAATAGAATATAAGATAAATATTACCTGTCAGGGTACCTTGCTTTTAATGCCATAAGTAATGTTAATGTTTCCAGACTATAGTATCCACGGTCAACATAATCTCCCATAAATATATATTTAGTTTGTGGCACCTGACCACCTCGGTTAAATAATTCCTCTAAATCATAAAACTGAAATATAGCATAGAATAGTTTAATTACAGAACCATTACCTCTATGAGGATTTTACATACTATTACATATTAGTTGAATATGGAAATATTATGCAATGTACAATACTAAGGATAATGCAGTTTTTACTAATTTACTACTAGTACTCTTTTGTGTGAACATTTCTATTGATATTGACCTATACAAATTCAGCTTACAGAAGAGAGGGCAGTAAAACCTGGAGTTGCTAAAGGTCAACAACAACTTGTTTTTTAATTTGAGTGACCTTACATTGAAAAACCTGAAGAATTCATACAGCTTTCCAGTCTCCAACTATATATTTCTATGGGTACTTAACAACTGTTAAAACTCTTAAATATCTTTATCTATTATACATGACATGATTAATTCAGCCCTGATTAGCATTAAGAACGCCTTTTAATACTTAGTACTGTTGCCCATGCAATAAAACATTAACGAAAGAAAAAATACTGAAACTCTGATTATAATATTAGCTATATATATTATGTCTTCAGATAGGACCACTATCTATAGACCTATATAGCTAATATTATGATCTGATTACCTCTGCATCAATAATATATATATATATATCTATGTTAGTAGTCTTATCTTATAACATTATCTACATATTGGATAGAAACCTACCTAACCGTTGCTTCTTTCAGCTACAGTACAGAATGTTTATTAGTGTTCAGAAACTATAGAATAATCATCAATATTACCTGGCCGTGAATATCCCCGCAGACCGTTACAGGGGTCTGAACCGGTTGCACATTTGGCTCCTCTAACAACAAATCACACACGATATTGCACAGTTCCCGTAAATCGTCTTCAGGCAAATATTTACACGTCTTCGCAATTTCAATCCATTTATCTACGTCGGTCATTTTAGTGGTCTTTGTCAATAGGCGTTTCTTGTTTTTATCTAAATTAAATAAAACTTCAAAAGAAACAGAAGTTCACAGAAGAGAACAGAACCAAATTTCTAATGTAATAAACTACTCTGAGACAATGACAGCCATAGGTACATTCCGTTTACATTATCACGTACCAAGCTATTGGTACAGATGAAAAAAATGTGTTGCTAGTTAAATAATAATTAATTTGTGCTAAAACAAAATTGAGTGTAGAAAGTATCTATTTGTTTAGTAAAATGTTATCAGCTACTTTGTGTTTAAGTTTGTTTACCATTTATTATAGTATACATATATGCGTCAGAACCGAGACAGAGATGCGACTGGATAGTTTTATTGTCATTAGTCATTGGGAGAGGATTTTTCTTATACCTCTATGTTTCTGAAAAATAGTTATTAGTTCTTGGTGGATACTCCAAAGAACTAACCACAGCCCAGAGCACAATGTTAGCAAGGGTGGCTGGTCCATTCCAATTCTAGTCCTATATTCTTACTAGTACAAAATAGTACAAATATAATAAATATAAATAATATTACAAGTGCAAATAAGATAATATTACATAATAGTACCAAGTGTATATACATATATGCGTCAGAACCGAGACAGAGATGCGATTGGATAGTTTTATTCTAGTGTACCAGTCATTGGGAGAGGATTTTTCTTATACCGCTATGTTCCTGAAAAATAGTTGTTAGTTCTTGGTGGATACTCCAAAGAACTAACCACAGCCCAGAGCACAATGTTAGCAAGGGTGGCCGGTCCATTCCAATTCTAGTCATATATTCTTACTAGTACAAAATTGTACAAATATAAAAAATATAAATAATATTACTAGTACAAATAAGATAATATTACATAATAGTACCAAGTGTATAATGTCAGGCATATATAGGAATTTCTCTATGGATGTAATATGATCAAGGATAGTTCTAAATACATATATTTTTATTTTAAATAAATAAACCAAGAAGTTTTTTTATCCAAGAGTTTATTTAACATGAAAACAAACATGCAAGTACATTTCATAAATGTTATTACACTTTGTTATTCATATGGTGCTGTTGATATGCTGTGAGTGGGTTAATAAACATAATAATTATTATTATGACTATTATTAACTTATTCCTAAAGCGTTTTCGAAATACAACAGATGAAGTTCATGGGACGGAACACTTTTTTATATTTTTGAAAAAAAATATACTAGCAGAAAAAAACTTTTACGGTTCAACAACCAAAGAAATAAAATAATATTAAAAATTAGTTGAATAGTTGTAACAAAATGTGTATGCAAATAATGACAGATATCCTATTCTAATTACTAAAATCTAAATTCAACTGGTAATTAATTCTGTAAATAAGTATGTTAGAAACTCAGCCCCCATTTAGCAAAAATATCACTTAGGTTAAAGTTGCCAAGGCATCACCAAATCACAGTATGCTATTTTAGGTACAGATAACATGTCATAAAAACAATTGTCTAGTCGAATATTTTGACTTGGCGTAAGTACCAAGAATGGTGCAAATGACACTTATGAACAGTTACTAAATAATAATGCATTTATGACAAGGATATCAATAAAAAAAGCCTAAATAAATAATTGGGTACAATAAACAAGAGTATACTAAGAGAACTAGTAATCTAAAATATTCAACAAAACAATATCATACAATATAAAAAAGCGTGCTCATCAATTTAGAGTTACTTTTTATCTAAGTTTTGAAAATTTCAACATTTTCAGTTATAAAAACGACTTAAACCTGAGAGAGTACCAAGTGATCACAGATTTTGAAAGTCCGTTCATATCAGTACAAAAGTAACCAACATGTTGACAACGGATTTACCTATTACTACAAAACAGTATGAAAGCGGATTCATGCCCATAGTATCCAAATATGACTATATTACTATAGTATATTCACTAATGGTTACTGTTTACTTTGGAAATATTTCTCTACACACTACAACACAACATAGTAAATATAAAAAACATGAGCATGTACCTGTTTTCATTATGTCTATAAATACGAAAGATATGCTATAATTATTTTCTATTTGCTAAAAAAAAAAGTTTGACGACCAGTACTCAATAAAACATTACAAATGCATAATTGCTTTGGCAAATTGAAAGGTTCATTTACTACACACAACCACTCACCTAAGGACTATTTCTATTTATAGTCAAAGTAATAAATATAATTTGAAACTCAACATCAACTAAAAGAGTACTGGCGATCAAACCGAGGAGGTGAAATGACATTGGACTTGTGAAATACTTTCTTTTATAAGTAAATACATAAAAGAAATATCCCTCTATTGTCACTGTTTACCCCATCATTATTAATTGTAAGAATGAACACATAGCATTAAGATATGAGCATCAGGCGCCAAATTTTTGAATAACCAAAACGACCCTGTTGTAACGGTTCAAGCTACAAATACTAAGCTTAAAATTAACTACAAAATACACACTTTATACTTAATACAAAATTAAGCTCACGCAAACATATTATAAAAGTGCTCTTTTTTGGATTATAAAATATTTTTAAAATATTAATATGCATATAACCAAAGAACGGCGTTGGCTAATCAATGAATCTGCAATGAGATTTGAAAGTAAATATGAAAGCGTAAGCCAAGCACAATATTTAAAATTAAACCATACAATGTTTTTCTTAAATATAAATAACAATAAACCAAATAGCCACCTCGATTTACAAAATACTTAATGATTGATGATGCGTTACATTGTAACGTGACATTTAATTAAGACAGTTATAAATATGTACTGTAATATAAACTTAGAATGACAAAACCTGATCTATGAACATAGTTGAAATAGAAAAATATTTTGATACCTTTCACTCCAATTCACATGACTATGAGGTTTAATGAAATTTTTGGGGAGTACTTTGGTTTCAGCTTTAAAAAAAAATATTTTAACTGTGCTCATTACAGACAGTCCTATGTTCACGAAGTAAATTTACTGCGTAGGTTCCTTAATTGAGAGTTTTGTTAATGTAATTTACCGCGAACTGTTGTAGATATTCTTTTTCCGACTAAGTACGGTCGTTCAGGCAGGGCGTAGCAAACAAATAAGCCAATCGGAACGGGGAATCGTCCGACTGAATAGTATGTGATCACTGTAACGTCGTATACAGTAAATCGAGGTGACCCATAACTCATAGACATAAATATCTCGGTCAAAATTAAACCTAAACAACATAAGAACATATACTTTCGAATAAAAGTACTTACACAATATCCCAAAAAGAAAAACAATAAGCAGAGATCCAAAAACAAAGTTAACTACATCATCTGCCAGGAAACTGTCCATATTACAAAGTAAAATGACAACTGACTAATCAGCAAAAAATGTTATTCGTCAATATGAAATAGGTTTTATTGTCTTCAGTTAATATTATACTGTAATGGTGTTTTACTAATGTTAATACTATGAGAGATTGATATACGAGTATATGCAAGTAAAAAGGGAATATGTACATCTCCACAAACTGATGAATAATAGTGAAGATAGGACGACTGACTACATTTAGACCACACTTGATTGCACCAAAGTTTTGTACAATAATTAATACAGGCACATGCAATGATGACATCATGTATGTAACATTTTTTCTATTACCAATGACCAAACAATTGATCAAAACTCTAATTTTAAGAAAAAATTGCGCTTTATAGGATTCATATTGCTCTATCGTTATCCTATAAGACATTACTCGTTAGTATCTCGTTACCTGCTAGTATTGTTAATATCATTACATAAGATAGACTAAAGTTCTAATTACTATGTAGACAACAACAATGTGTAACAGATTACTGCAGCGAAAGAAAAGATACATATGTCCTTATAGTTTAAACAAACACCTATCGCTTCTAATATAAAATTCACGTACTATCGAAATGTCACAATAAAACCAATCTTATTTAATGAGGCCCAGAACACATTATGGTTATTTTTTTATAGAATTGCAATTTCGAGGTCAGACGTCAAAGTATAATTAATGACAGATAATCACAGCGTAAAGAATCATTATTTTATTTGTAAACTTAATGTACTTATTGTAGTAGAATTATGGAACAAAAATTCACTCATATAATACTTTTACTTAGAGGATGGTAGGCCTCCATACTTGCTCCCGTTGAGATCTAGGTTACTTTACGCTGTGTCATGTTTAAAATAACAGATGTGTTTAAATATTGATATTCGAATGTGAGTTATTCACTTGAATTGGCCAAGTGTGAACGCGTCCATAACCTTGGGAACATGTTCATCAATTCCAATGATGTCGAGGACTCCTTCGTGGCTGCCATCGGTGGTGGCCACGCGGTGCGATGCCAGGGACATGACGATCAATCTGTTTAGACATATAATATATGAAACATTCGAATCAACCTTTTTGTTGTATTTTTGAATAGTGAATAAGAAGAATATACATATGGACAAGATATATAGATAATATTCACAATACCCTCACTTTGTCAGTAAAAAGAGTTGAGAAAGAATGAAATAAATATATAATTGCAGTGTAGGCCTTTAAATATTGGATTTAATAGGATTATAGTAAGAAAAAAGAATGGATCATATGAAGAATGAACGACAAGGTATTAAAAGATTTTAAAGTGAATGTGGATTAATATAAAAGGAGAAGATAACAATAAAAAGATGGGCGGATAAATAATAGGATGATAATAATAACTATATCTCAGGATAATTAACACACTGTCCCAAGATAAGCAGAGCTTGCTTGGTATAACACACATGGTATAAAAATTTAAATAAATACATACATAATATACATACAGTAATGTGGACTAATAACCAGTGGAAGCCATCGTAATAAATTCATGGTGAATTTATTACGAAGGCTTCCACTGGTTATTATCCTATCCATCGCCGGTGTAACCAATGCACCGCCAGCTTAAACCGTTAGCGCAGGCGGGTGCTTTTTTTTACCATGGCCAATCCATTATCCTCCATAAGAAAAATAATAGACATAGAAAGCACTCCAAACCGATACAAAATCATATCCATAACTAAAGTACCATCAGAAGTAAAGCAGTGTGCTAAACCGCTAGACTACCGAGGCCATCATAGGCCGATAAAGGTATTGATGACAATGAAATTACGTAGTAGAAATAATTATCAAAATAACATACTTAGCATCCTTAACGCCCGCGCTCTCCCTGTATCGCTGAAGTGAGCGCACCGGACAGTGATCGGTCAGTTCAGGAGCTGGTGGTGCACCGAAACGGCCGCCCGGTCCTCGTCCGCCGCGGGCCGCCTGTTCCAGCTCCATGTAGCGAGTGGTGCGATCAACCATGTTGATGAACACGTCCACCTTGTGATTATTCTTGGCGGCCCACTCGATTGGGGCGTCGAGTTGAACGCGACCCAAGTTCGCTTTCTAAATTTAAAATTATTGAATAGAGTAAATTTAATTTAAGCACTTTTGGTTTTTCTCTCTTCGTATTTGCAAGTTAAAGTGGCCTGGTCTTATATGTAACGTGTTCTAGTGGAGAATGCGAATCGTCAAACGTAGTGTTGTACGACATACGTAGGGTTGCAGGTAATAACTTGAAGAGAAGGGCTGAAGATTGTGCCCAGTGGCGTGCCTTGGGAGAGGCCTTGTCCAGCAGTGGACTGCAGTGGGCTGATGATGTTGAAATACTTAAATTGAAACGACAGCGCCGCCGTTACCTATTAAAATTCCACTTTTGACCTTTATTTTATATGGGATTATATGTCCAAGTCGTGGCGAATGCAACACTAAACATATCATTGGAATCCATCGTGGCAAAAGACAAACCAACTGGAGTTATTAATTTAGTTATTTTATTATAGTGATCCCAGTCGACCTGACGTGACGTAACCCGACATGCATCACGTCCGGCCGATCTCTAGATAGTCACTCTTAGAAACTACCCTGGTTAAAATGGTTCACCACTTACAAAAAAATGTGGGTCGGGTTTTAACATGAACATTAGCATACTCAACTTTAATCATTCATATTAAAATTAGGCACAAGATACATATAATGTACTTACTCTCAGCACAAATTCTGCTTCTTCAATGTTGCTGAAGTTCCGTTCGATCGTAACAATCTGCACACCCTCTTCGGTGAATACTGCCAACTTTACATTTTTCTCGCGTTTCAATATTTGCAGCGCCAGAATGATAGCTAAAATGTATTTACTTTTAATACTATTAATATGACACAAATAGATATCAGTTGTCCAAATTAATCATTAAACGAAAATCTTGATTACTAGTTGTCTCCATCACAATCTCCCAGATAATGAAGTGTTGATACTCAGTCAGGATTAAAGATTTTATAAATATAGGAGGACACGTAAAAACAAAAGAAGAAAATATACAATTCATTAAGACATATAATATAAGTTGTGAAAAATCTAAAATTTTTACCTGCATGGCCTGGTGTAACATGTTTATTATAAAAACACTCTGCCAATAAATGCGTCTTGTTTTTCTTCTCGGCAGTAGCAGCGTCACTGCTGGGGATTACGGGAGGATTGCTGGGTTTTGCCCGTTTTCCTTTCTTCGGAACTACGTAGTTGGTGCAAAAATGACGACCTGTCGTACAAATGACACTATGTCAAAGAAAAATATAGTCTTTCGTCATATTCACATTGTATTTGTAACTCAATTAAGTTTAGTATGAACGCAACGTTATGGGTTCTTCAATATAATTATTCACAATGAATGCAGTAATAAGGTCTTCTTGCTAAGAATCTTAAAAGAACAGAATCACATTATGGAATTCTGTTTTTTTTTTAATTATTTAATCCAGAAGTCCTCTCTATCATATAATTATATAAATACATCCCTTTTCATATGAAAGAAAAGAGGGCAAGAAGAGTAAATAAATTGAAACTATTAATTAACCCAATTCTGCACTGCAGAATATATATTATAATTATCTCAAGCTTTATAAATTAATATTGTTTGATAATATTATTAATTTATAACTATATCAACAATATTAATAAGTACTGTCATAGGGTTGTTTAAATAATGGGTTTGTATAGTAATACATGTGGGACAATACCTTTAAACATGTGATGTCTCATGTCCATGGTGATCATGTAGCGGGCCTTTGTTGGTGGCGATAGCAACCATGACAGATCAATCAACTTATTGAGTGCAGCCAAAACTGCTGGATTTGGTGGTTGGTCAATACCTGAAATATACAGTTTCATAATATGGAATTGATATATTTTTTATCCAAAGATACTGAACACTAGTAATATGCACAATACTACTAGTGCATTACTTAAGTAATTTCTTTTACTCTAGGACTACATTCTGATAGCAGATTAAGCCAAGAAGATAGTCTTTGGCATTTAACCTGGCTGGTGCTATTTTCAAACAAATTTACATGTTTTACATTTTGTGTGAATTCTCAAACAGATTTAGTAAAATAAAAGAATACCCCCAAAAATAAATCAACTAACCCCAGTGCTTGACTTCCTTGGGATGCCTCCTGGTCACAGTCCACTCCCATAATCCAGTTTTGCTGTCGAACATTTGTTTTGACCGACGACGCAGTTCTTTATCAGCCGCCACTCTAGCTTTATCGTGCTTCAGAGGTCTGTGTACAAAGTGATAAAGATAATTACAACACAGAAACTAATTCTAATTTTGAACAAATTTATATAATTCTACAGCACACAGTATTAGTCCAGTAAGTCGAGAAAAATTGTTTAAAAAAAAATTAAAATTCTTCTGCTTATTTGCTTTTGCCTACACAAACTTTTATCCGTTATTTCATTCATTTTAGCTGTTTATTTTATTCCAATAAGTTAAAAACATAAAATTATATAGTCACAATAATATTTGGAATACCATGGTGAACAGATACTAAAAATATAATTCTACCTGCTTTTCTTCTTATAGTTGCACAAAGTGATGTAAACTGCAAGAGGAGTGACATTGGAATTCTTTACGAATTCCTGGTCATTCAGCAAAGAGATAAGTATAGCAGTTGTAGCAGAATCACTGGTTAGGAAGCCCATATTGTGGATGCGTTGGATATGGTACAATAGTTCTTCTAACTTGAACTGGGGCATTATTGCATTCCATACCTGAGAAATTAATAAGTATTTGAATATATAATAGCATTAATTTATTAACTTATCTACATATAACATAGAATAAAGATATTTTTATTTCATATTATTATTATTTGAAATCATTAATTTTCCTACTGTAGGTACATATAATAATTGTATCTTAGGACAATTCATACAGCGCCATCTAGTCCCAAGCTAAGTAGAGCTTGTATTATGGGTTCTAGACAATTGATATAAACATATACATACATATTATAGGAAACACCCAGACCGGTACAAATAATCATACTCATGAATACACATGTTTGTACCATGCAAGTAATTGAAGCCGAGACCATTAGAAGTAAAGTGGTGTGCTGTACCGGTAGACCACTGAGGCCATCTTATATGTGTATATATATATATATATATAATACAAATGCCTTACATGTTGAGAAGTAAGTAAATGTCCAGGGACATGGTCGAGAGTGAATTTATGCTGTGCCGCTAGGGCACCGGCCGCGACAGGATCCTCGCAGTGTCGCATGTCCTCTACTATCTGGATGTAGTCAAATATCTCCTTGGTGCCTTGTGCATCACCCACCAGTTGCTTGGCGCGTTTCAAGCCGAAAATAGCATACTTCACCACTGCATCACGAGCTGTACAAACATACATATATAATCTACACACACAACGGACCCATTGAAAGTCTGAATGAAGAAAACAGAGTCAACTTATATTACATGGATACAGGTAGCAATCATGAATTAATATACTTCTAATTCTACAGCATTTATAATAGAGCAGTAAAAATTTGAAGAATAACACTAATTGTTCACAAAACCTATTTACAAAATCATAAGATTCACATGGATGTATGCAGACTAATTGCTAGCGAGGTATGCAACAGCTTGCTATGTATTACTAGCTAACTCGCGCCACTTTAGGCAAGATTTTCCGCGTTTTTGCAACATTTTTCAGTGCCGCTCAGGTCCTATTGGTCGTAGCGTTCATGTTTTATAGCCTATGCCGTTCAATGATAAATCGGCTATTCAACATAAGAAATGCAATAAAAGAATTTTCAAAATCGATAAACAGTACTGGAGACTATCACCCTATACATCCAAACTAACAGACTATACTTCTTAATAAAAATATTAATATTGGTAGATGTAATAGTTTAAGTCAGTATATGTACCATGGTCCTCTTCTGGTATTTTGAAATGAGATTTCCGGAGCAGTGTTTTATGAGAACGGCCATATCGAGCTCGGACTCTCGTCATTTCCTTGGCTAGCTCCAAGGGTTCTTTCTTGAGATACCAGTCCTTTATATTCTTGCACCATCCTCGGCCATTACCTGAGAAATAAAGAAATTGTTTATGTTCTGATTTCAATCTTTCCTATAATATGTATATAAAAGAGAGCCTTCATTAAGAAGTACACAGCAATTGTTATAAATATATATCGGTTAACAGTGTATAAGAATGGACCTACATATAATTATGTAAAAATATAACTCATGTCTGTATATAAAAGATTAGATTAGATAAGATTTTATTAACGTAAAACAAATAAAACAATGATTGTTAGAATTTTGTATGTTTATTTTATGCATTCCTTAAAGATAATCTCAGAAAGGGAGGCCGGAATAGAACCGAACCGAAAACCACCGACAATCTACTATATTTTTCATACTCCTTTTATGTACTATATAGTTCAAATTATACAAAATTACAGTCCATAATTCTTTTAGCTTAGCCTAAAGAGAGCAAGGCAATGGCATTTATTAAAAATTACCTGTTTTCAATAACCGAGTAAACTTGTTAAAAAGCATCATTTCTTCAGGGGTTTTGCATATTTCAGCAGCAGCTTTATATGTAGCCTCCTTTACAGCCGATGAACCAACCAGTAAGCACTTAGTTAGGGCAAAAGCAATAGTTTCGAATCGAGTATACCATCCATCTTTGTAAGCCTAAAAAAACAAATATAAGACAATTAATTACTAAGTATACTAGGTTAAAATAGTATATACAAAAACAATAAACAAAGTATGTTCAAAATTATCACCAAACTCACTAAATGGAAATACTGACACAGTAATATCACATTTTTTCAATATAATAACAATGTCAGTATTAGAGTTAAGTAGACTTTTTTATTATTAAAAAAATATTATAATAATTATTTAAAGGGTTACTTTGTGGGATTATATTCCAACATAGTTAATTTCATTTTTATGTCATCTGTTGAAATTAGATTATAATTTGTCATGTACATTAACATTTTTGTATAATGCATGATTCATTTAGTAAAACAAATTAAAAAAATTAATATCTGTATTGAATTTTATTAACTTTTTTTAATGGATGATAATGGAATAATATATCTGATGCACTTATGATTTACGCTAAAAGGACACCAGTGGAGGATGATAAGATGAGTATGAGGTAAAGTCAGGAATAAATCATGATTTTATCCAGGGGGAACAGCATAGAGATCGACCTAACATCAACATGGTACATTATTAGGAATGGGGACACTAGACTCCATTACTAACAAACCCCACAGTACAACTTTCTTTCAAGTAGGCCATTAGAGTATTGTTATTGTAGTCATTTAAAAATACAAGTTATAATATATCTGTGGAGTGAAGGAAATAGAAATTGGTTAAAGTATCTGAAAAATTAGATTTTTACACCATCTGGCTTACAGTAACAAGGCATTAAGGAGATAACTTAACTCTCTCCTTATTGCCATGTAACTTGTAACCTAAAATAAATTCTAAGAGTGATATATCCTCATTCTTTATTTGATTATTTATTAATATTATAGCTTTAATCTTCTACATAATATTTTTCAAACATTATAGTTATTATTATTAGTTTTCGATTATTACTTATTATCTTATTTCTTTATTTTATTATGACAATTTTTAATGTCATGTAATATGCAGATTTAGAAATTGCACAAGTTACTGCCTGATAAAATCCTGGGGCTAGCTAATGTATCAAATGATATACACTATAACTATTTTTTTGCTCTCATTTGTTATTTATCAACATTTTTTTAATTATCTAAAATATAAACATTGTCATTACTATATAGGGAATTAGACGAGGGTATATCTCTTTTAAGACATCTTCCACTATTGTTAATGTTTCAAGCCACATTGTTGTGAACTATTTTTTATACCTTTTTTATTCCATGTTTTTTATTATATTCTATATTGTTTTATATGCAATAAGTAATTTATTACACCATATTTTACAACTATACTGTTATATATATAAACTTGTCGTCTTGGTCTCCATCCTTCGCACACATTGTGTAATTTTTTTTCAGTAATTACTCCGCTACTTTTTACTTAACACCACATATACACAACTAAATTATAATATTCAAAATACTGTATAAAATAATAATCTAAGTACATATAACTAATGTCCATGGTTGGCATAAAGAAGTTGAAAACTTATGTGGGTTTTCCATAGTCATATGTCACACATATAACTTCCAGTATGTGTCATACTACACCTCAGTTATTTAGTTCTTCTAGCCAGCCACTAAATTACATACACTACATTTCTTTTTTTTCTACATTAATTGCAACCTGTTAACAATACACTTGTGGAGAGATGGGGATTGTTATTATTATGTATTGACTTATTGCCAGCAATATACCATGTGAGATTGGCCTCTATGTGATCAGCCCTGGAAATCACTGCAATAAACTCCTGGTGAATTCTCCTAGATGAATCCACAAGTACCCCACTTGTAAAAACATTAGCATAGGCCAGTAGTACATTATCATCCATTAAAAAAATTCAACAGTAAGAAATTATATATTTATAGTGGAAATAATAAATTTAAATGAGCAATTTGGTTTTGTAAGGTAGGTTTATACATATTACCTGCAGAATTACATTGACCACTTCAACATTGTTGGCACCGTCTGCAAGCGCCTCGTTTAGTACAGTTAGTTTGTCAGCCTCAAAGTACTTATGAGACGTCCAGCACCCAGGGAAGTAGGTCGGAACTTCGTTGCCAGTGTGGATGTACCGTGTTAGCCGGTTATGCAAAACCGGATCAAGGGATGGTGTTGACATTTTCGTATATCGTATTTAAAATTTGCCAATGTTTCTCAAGACTCTGGTCAAGATACAATATTTGCAAAATATGCGCCACTATCATCCAGTCGCGCCGTGAAGAATTCGACAGCAACTCGAAACGGCAAACTGTACTGAAAAGGTAAACGCACTGCAATAGAAAGCTATTAATTTTTTGTCGGTATTCGAGCGAAACATGTGCTATAATAAATTGAGGATGTGGCCAGAAAAAATTGACAATGGACGCTTATGAATGTAATTCATAGCCGAAAATTAAACTTATTAACAAAAATATTATGTCCGTCGTTTTAGTTAGAAATATTTTTACAAATTTAAACTAATATTTATGATTCTATACAAATATTCCAAAAAATAGAAAATATTATGGCACATACCGTGCGTCTCGATTTTTAATTGACAATTTGACAGTATATTTGTGTTGTTCTTAAACGACCTAGTTCGGAAGAGCGTCTGAAAGACGAACAGAGGATTAGTTCGCAGACCTTACGGGATATAATTCGTTAATTAATTTGATACAATAAGAATAATGTTACTAAAACAATAATGAGTCAATATGTGTTACATTGCCAGGAAAAAATACTGATAGGTGTAGAGGTTGATGTAGTAAAGTATTTCTCTAAATCTAGCCGGGGCCGAACAGACACGAACTAAAGCGAATAAACGCAGTCGCATCGCTATTATGCGCAAAACTACTTATCCGATTAAATTAAAAATATACTGCCAACCTCAAACTCACTATTTATACAGAAATATACAACTGCCCGGTATTTATATTCTATGGTGAATCTGAAATTAAAGTATAACAACGTTGTGTGCATCTCAACGAGGTCCGTGGATGTATGTATTAAACGTAATTTATTAATTTTAACATATAACGACAAACAAGTGAGTAGTGTTGTAGCAGTGTAATCAACAGTAGTCCATGCTAATTGTTCTGTATACTGTTAGTACTGCATATAAAAAAATACGAATCATAAAAATAATAACCTATTAATCAATATTTATTAACCTAATATCGATATTTCTATTACTACTTCAAATATAACGCAATATACTATAGACGTATAAGTATATCAGTCGTTGCACAAATTTCTTAAAGTAGGTATGATCATTTATCAAATACTTATTAAAATGTAAGAGATGTCTATAACTGGCAAAGACATATTCGACAATATTCGTATAAGCTTGTACCGTATTTCAACTCGTAATTCGTAAGAATACAATCAAAATACTATAATGTACGAATTTTGAGAACTACAATGACATATAATAATGATATTTTTTTCTTTGTGCAAGCAATGTCTTTTAAGGTTGGCAACCATGGATTTAGAGTGGCGTGTTAAGGAGTTAGTACCCAGGCCCGTAAACAAGATTAATAAAGAAAAAAACGCTGTTGGTTGTTGACAAGGTTCAAGGAAGGAAAGAACATAAACATGATTGGTTGTTGATTAATGTCTGTATGATTCTGGTTATCATATTAGTAAAAGTTTTCTTTTAAATTTTTATTAGTTTTTAACAACTTTTAGAAAACTATATTAAAATTCCTTGTCATAAATTAAATTAATTTAATTGAGTTGCCGACGCAAGGAGAATCGGCTATTGAATATGTTTAAAAACAAAGTGAAGAAAAGCGTATCAAGAAAACGGCCTAATTCAGAAAATATTTATGGTGCTGGGTCTACAAATTCAAAACATGTACCTCCTAAGAAAAAAGTACGTGTTGCTAAGATGTATCAGGAAGATGGTATCACAAAATCGAAAAAGCTAATACAAAAATTGCAAACAACTGGTGGCAAATCAAGTACAAGAAAGCAACGCTCTGCAGTGGTGAGAATTGAACCTAGAATCTGTGGAAATGGTAAGCCTATGCCACCATTAGCTGAACTTGAACTAATGTTTGCAGATTCTGATGAAGAAAGTAAAACTCAATCTATGTCTATACCAGATGTAAAATTAACTTCACCTACAACATTAGAGAAAATTACAAATAAAATAATCAATTTTGTTACAAATGTACCTGATTCTGTTACACTTATTGAAGATGACACTCCTCCACCACCAGTTATACCACCCAAAAAACGGAAGAAACCTGATGTTCCTTATATTGTGGGTTGTAAAGATCGCCCAAAAGTCCCATACAAGCCTTCGGTAAGTTTTAGTAAAGGTGATGATTATGGAATTATTGAGAATTCAGAAAACTCTGATGACTGCCTTAATAAACGAGCAAAAAGAACAAAAGGTATGAATTTTTCAAAATCTGTTTTTAATGCTAAAAGTGATGATATTGCTGCATGGTTAAAAGATTGTGAAAAGGACAGTGATGCTAGTTCAGACAGTGATAAAACTGTAACATATGAATATATGAGTTTTATGCCACGTCCATTTTCACCATTACCAAGTACATCTAAAGATAATAATACTATACTACAAAATGACAAAAGATTTAATGATAGTTTAATGCAAGAAAAAATAAATAATGAATCTGAAAATGATGTTGAAGCAGTTGAACTGTCATGTGAAACTGTCATACTTGATGATGATCTAATTACAGAGCAGAAAACAATTCCTGAAGTAATCACAGTGGATGATTGTGATGATTATGCAGAGATAGTAGAACCTACCAGTATAGAAAATAAAAAACTTAAAAATATAGGTTCTACACTTCCAATTGATATTGATAAATACAACTTTAACTTAAATCTGAGTTGTGAAGATATTGTAGAGACAATTGATGTTGATGATGTCATTGCCGAAAATCAAGCCATTATTGAAAAATTTTCTCAAGTTAAAAACTTACATTCTGTTACTCAAGTTAATCTTCGTGAACAAAACAATACAGATAATCAAACAATAACACTTAATGAAAGTGTAACTTTAAAGAAAAATAATTCCAATTTAATAAATGAAGAGTTGCATTTATCAAGTGACTATAATATACAGAGTGTTCCTAAGGCATCTATTGTGAATGAATGTCATAACTACACTTTAATTAATAAAATAGTAAAAAACTTCTTTTCTGGGAAAAGTACCTATAATGTAATTAATGAAGTCAATGGTGTTAGAGGACAGAATAAAATTGATAAAGTATTGGATAGTTTTGCAACATGGTTAGAAAATTTTAATTATCGTAACATTATAAATAAAAATGGAACTCCTACTATATCACCTGGTCATATGAGTGAGTGCATTGTTAATAGTTCATTACCCACAACATCAAATACTGACCTAGTTTTACATTTACCAATTCAATTTGACAATAACAATATTTCGTCAGTTAATACTGTTAATTACACAAACAATTTGCAGAATACAGTAACCCCATTGACTAAGTTTAACCAAGTTCATAACACAGTTAATGCTTCCATTAAGAATAATACTTCTATTAATTCAATTAATATCATAAATACAACAAATATAGGCAATATTGCCAGAAGTGATACCATAACATCTACTATAATGCCTATGAACAATAACACTTCTATTCAGTCAATTAATCACAGAAATACATTGAATGTATGCAATATGGCCAGAGGTGCCACCATAACGTCTACAACAATGCCTATGAACAACAACACTTCTTTTAATTCAAATTATCGTAGAAATACAACAAATATAGGAAATATTTCCAGTAGTTACACCATAGCATCTACTATGATGCCTATGAACAATAACAACAATAACACATCTATTCATTCAATTAGTCGCAGAAATATAACAAATATAGGCAATATTGCCAAAAGTGACACCATAACATCTACTATAATGCCTATGAACAACAACACTTCTATTCAGTCAATTAATCACAGAAATACAATGAATGTAGGCAATATTGCCAGAGGTGACACCATAACATCTGTAATGCAAGATATTGGAACAAAAAGAAAAAATATCAGGAATCGTAAAAAGCAATTGCCTATTTCATCTACATTCCCACAGCTACCAGCACAAACTACAGTATTTCAAGCAAATAAAAAATCAAATGGTATTGGTGACTGTCCAATATGTATGGACAGTCTTGCTAATAAATCAATTGCATCAACATTATGTGGACATGTATTTTGCATGACATGCATAAAAGCTGCCATCAAAGCAAGTAGTAAGCGATGTCCAACATGTCGAAAAAATTTGAAAGGTGTTGGTTATCACCAATTGTTTTTATAGTTATTGTATTGTTCAACTTTGATTCCAGTATCATAATTAAATAAAGATAAGTAATTATTTTATCATTTCAGATAATAATAATATATATATTAGTCCTTCTTTCATACAATATAGGCCTTTCAAATTATAAATATCATGACTGAATATACCATGAATAGACAATATTTTGTAGTCGTCATCAGGAGTATATTAGTAGACATTATTGTCAATAATATTTTGATTACAAAATATGTTGATTTTAATTATATTAATAGTTAAAGTTATTAAAATATATTGTAAGCACATACAAGATTCATTTTGAATTGAAACATTGAAAGTTTACATTTGGAATATGATGTGGTAGTACTTGCTATAATTTTTGTGCTTTATAAATATTAAATTTAATGGTATGCTGACAGCAAAATATGTTGGTTTAAAAAATAATTGGGCCTTTAAAAGTTATCAAATTTTATACAACTGTACAAATTCTAACTTGCTGGTGTAGTGATTATGACTGATTCACTTTCTAGTAGTTGCAGGTTCAATCCATTCTTGATGCAAACATTGTATTCCTCTATATAATTGTAACTTTTTTATGTTTCTGCTTGGGATGGTGCTGTGTGTATATAAAAAATATTGATGGTACTTATAACTTATACCTTATATCATTTAATAATGTAAGAATACACATGATATAGAATGTATGTCTAGAATCTATTATTTCATAATTTTGGTACAATTTGTGCTAAATTGAAATTAACCCCTATAATGATAACAATCATTTGGGGCATAAAAAGTCTTATTGATAAAGTAAACATTTTTCTGACACTATGTTTTTAGTGCTCTAGTTTACCAAAGAATATACAGGATATTTTGTAATATTGTGATTTGATTACTAGACTTGTAATTTATGTATAGCACATTTATATATTTACTTACATATTAAGTTCTTTATTTCAGTGATAATTAGTATATAAATAAATATTATTGTACAATATCCAATTAACATATAACAAAAATGTGATATAAGAATAGTGTAAAAAATAGTGCAAAGAAAGGTAAGATAAATCTAAAACAATATGTAATAAACACCTGAATTTTATTAAAATTCATAAATTTATTAAACCAGCTTTCTTTTTTGTAATATCCAGTAAAAATAAAACATTATATTATTATAATACAATTTATTTACAATTACATATATTTTTAATAAAGTTGATTTGTTAGTAAAAAACGATCTATTATTGTTTTGGAATGCAAATTTTAATTGAATACTTAAATAAAATATTATTAATAGAAGGATTATATAAGAAATTGATCACATTAATTTAAACACATTATTTAAATATTTTATACAAAAAGTATCAAATGTTTAACAAAATATTAATTTATTTAAAACAATATACAATCATTTTATTTAAGTAATTAACATGTGTTTCTTCACACAATAAGTTATTGATCATTAGTAGAGTTTGTTTGATTTCCAGAGTGTAAATGTTCTATTGAAGTAGATAATTGTTCAAGACTTTGCACTAATTGTGCCATCTTATCCCGTGCGGCTGAATTGTCAAAACTGTTGTCAGTTGGTTTCTCAACATCTGCACACAGCCGGAAGTGTAATCGAGCCAAGTGCTCTTGTTGGTCTCTGACATTGATCATCTGTTCCATACTGCACCCAGAACTGAAAGCACTTAACTTACCAGTATGAAAATCATCCAGTAATTCTAGTAAAGCCTTTTCCATATGCTTCACATCTGGTGCCTCTTTTGGTATATGTTTAGGTCTATTATTATAATTCGAACGCATTAAATCTCGATGTAATCGTCTTTCGTTTACGTATGATACTTTAGTAGACTCATTTAAGCTTGCCCCTGAACTAGGCTGGAGCTGTGGGTTCCGCTGTGAGCTAAGACTGGCTGCGCCGCTTGACATTTTATTACTGGTAACAGGAGACGTCGCTGATTGGAACGTCTTCTGTTCCTCCTCCTCTCCTTCATTCTGCATTAATTGTTGTGTTTCGTTAGCTTCTTCCAAGTCTAAACTCATGTAGGTGTGTATTAAAGAAAATAAAACTTGATGTTCACAAGTAATAAAATCCAATGACATTAAATGAACGGAATGGCTGTAATATAATTAATTATAATTTATTATCATTCAGGTACAAACAATGTAATAGTTTAATAAATTATTATGACATCGATTGACATCTCAGGTCAGAAAATTGACAACAGAATATGACATTGACATTTCGTACTACGTCCTACTTGAAACTTTTTTTATTAATTATTTTACGGCCCTGGAAAAAATCATACTTGACACATGAACAGTGTGATCAGATTCAAATTCTTGTTAAATCTACGACTAAATAAATATGTGCTACTACTTTTTGAACTATTTTTAGAAATACCAATATTATGTTGAACAGTCATGGATTTGTAATATGAATGTTTTATTTATGTCATTAAAATCATATTATAAATATTATAAACCTGAATGTTGTCCAGACATGAAGTAGTTGACATGTTATTTGTTAATTTATATAATAAAATACTACATTCTCAGTAATTAAAACTAAAATTAAAATAGTTGATTCGTTCGATGTTTGAAAGAATGTAGTTCAAAACTGTAACGTAAACCACAGTTGCCATAAAAACATATTGTTCGTTTTCAGATTTAATATGAAATTAACAATATTTCAATTGAAGCTGTTCAATTACAATATTCAAATTGGTACATTGCGGCCACGTTTATTCTTCGACGCGTAAGTTCTGCCTTTTAGTACTTTTCAATAGGGTTGTGCACTGTATGAGAAACAGGCTTAAGTAAAATCTGTATGAAACATCTTGTTTTCTTTTTTAAAGGAACGGAGAAAGGAAGGTGGGGCACCTCAGTGGAGAATGACGAGATGAACATATGATCAAATCAGTTTGCCTATCGCGGTCCATTAAAATATATTCTTTTTGAGCCTATATCTTAAACATATCATGTCGTACTATGTATTGTCTATATTTATGAACATGTAATTGTGTGTGATTAGTAAAACATCTTGTTCTCTTTTTTAAAGGAACGTTATAGGTGGTGGGGCACCCCAGTGGAGAATAACGAGATGAGCATTAGGTCAAATCAAATTGCCCATTGTGGTCCATTAAAATATATTCTTTTTGAGCCTATATCTTAAACATATCATGTCGTACTATGTATTGTTTATATTTATGAACATGTGATTGTGTGTGATTATAAATGTAATATTATTTGTATATGTAATATACAAATAATAATAAAAAAATATAGGTATCTTCTTTTTGCATTTCTACAGGCGGCAATACATAAATTCTGCAGGTAGGCATTTAAATATTTCTTTATAATGAAAATAAAGGATTTCGTTTACGCCAAAGATAAACTCTGTTGGCTTGTTGCTTTATCGAGAATATTTTATGTCTATTACGAATTTAGTACTAAGGAGTTATCACAAACTAAAATTTTGGTATTAGATGTTTTACAGAATTTCTGATTGGAATCAGACCGATTGATGACTCCAAACATTTTTATATATTACTAGCTATTCGCCCGATGTACATGTATTATACATGTAAACCTTCCTCTTGAATCAATCTATCTATTAAAACAGCCGCTTCAAAATTCATTGCGTAGTTTTAAAGATTTAAGCATACATAGGGACGGACAGACAGCGACAGCGACTTTGTTTTATACTATGTAACAATAATGATTCGCTGTGCATCAACTAATAAGACCTAACTAAACTTAAAGTTTGATATTGTACAGTTTTTAACGTTAACGCTTTGACTGCATAGTGATTGCTCACACATCTTTAATTACCTTATGGAAGTTTACATAATTATACTATATGACTATATTGTAATATATTATTTATTAGCCTATATTAGCCTTAAATTAAGGATAATATAGAATGCATTAAATTAAAACATATAATATGCATTTAGTTTGTAATTCATACTTATTTTCCTACCCAATGCAAAGGCGTGTTGCTTTGGTATATTTGATTATATCAAACATGCCGCAATAAATAATGTTATTTTATATAAGTACGTCTCTATGAAAAAAAATTATTTAGAAAACTTACTTAATAATATAAACATCATACGACGATACAGTTACGAGATAAGATACAACTTACCACCAATGTTAAAGACTACGGCAACAGTAGGCTACAACATTTTTAACTCTTGAACGATAAAACTTCTAAGCTCTATGTACTTTTCTAGTTGGCCTGATGGTAATCAAATGCTGTTGGTACTGAAAGTTTGATGACGGCGGCAAGTCGATACCCGGCATGAAGTGGCTTACATAAGCGAGGACACGCTGCTGTTCTTCGTAGCTCGAACGTTAGCGTAGCGGCTACGGTCAGTTGCGAGCTACGGCGCTCTCTGCGTGAGCGTATACCGCGAAATATTCTCGCGCATTTTGCACGCATCCTGTTTATTTTAAATATCGAATCTGAAAACAGAAAACTGGTTAGAATTTAATATACATACATTTCATTAAGTTTCTTTTAATATTCAACATTGGTGCCCTCTTAAAAAAGTGTTGTAACTATTAGGAAAAGTTTTGAATATTGAATGAAGCGCAAAAGCTACGGTCGTGGGAAATTTCTATGTACCTAATAAAGTTTGTACTCTTTTCAGATGCAAGTCGATTCTATGTTAATTAATAAAAAAATAATAATTTTAGTGTACTTTATATAAATCTAATACTGCTAATTACCAAATCATAGTACTACATTTTTATCAAGGTTTCAAACAAATATTAAATAATTTATGAAATAACTTGTGTGGGCAACTAAAAATCTTAAAACAAATGGAGACATTTTATTATCAAAAGACCAATATCCTTCCACCGGGTAATCACACAGGTTCTGTTTAAATTGACAATTCTAAGGCGGCTTTAATAAACACTATGAGTATATAGATAGATAGATACAATTTTTATTTACTTTAAAGGCATATACATAATAACTGTAATATTAACAACAAAAATAAAAAGTAGACACACAATTTCATTGTTCAGTACTTTATATAAATCTAATACTGCTAATTACCAAATCATAGTACTACATTTTTATCAAGGTTTCAAACAAATATTAAATAATTCATGAAATAACTTATGTGGGCAACTAAAAATCCTAAAACAAATGGAGGCATTTTATTATCAAAAAACCAATATCCTTCCGCTGGGTAATTACACAGGTTCTGTTTAAATCGACAATTCTAAGGCGGCTTTAATAAACACTATGAGTATATAGATAGATAGATACAATTTTTATTAACTTTAAAGGTATATACATAATAACTGTAATATTAACAACAAAAATAAAAAGTAGATACACAATTACATTGTAGTAGTCAGTCAACAAAATACAATACAATACAGGTACAAAAAAAAACGGTGTGAGTAACGTAGTGTGGATAAAACGTACCACAAAAATATACAATACTGTACATAATATTTTTTTAAAAATTCTAATTTAAAAACGAATCCGATACCTCAATTACGAGAACAACGCGTGTTACGTGAGGTCGTCAAGAAATTTGGGAATACCAATTCGAATTGTGTACGCAAGGTCGTCTCAGGTGGGCGGGTTATAGAGAGAGATCTCGTAAAATCTTTATTGCTGTAGACTTGAAAACATTTTACGAAATTTGTTCTCCTATACATTTAGCACAGATGTATACAGAAAAAATAATAAATGTATTATTAATATTGTTGATTGTGCTCAAATAGAATTAAAATTAACAAAAAAATATTGGAGACGAATATAGAGATCATTATTATTATTTTTATTATACTATATCTACATAGTTTGTATAGTAAATGTTTTAATGAATGTCTAATTAGGTACCCCTTAATACATCTAACAATAAGATGATATAAATGTTGCAAATCAATTGAAATTACGTAAAATAGAGGACTTTCAAATAATATGATCGAAAAAGAATTTTATTTATGTGCATTATTTGGTACTAGTTAAATAAAATTGGAAGTTAAAAAATCAAGACTATCCTTTGACATCTATTTGTTATATCAATTTTATTCAAAATTCAATTTGACTTGATTGCGCTAAAAATTTATATGCATATTCGAATGAAAATTTGTGTCGGCAACATGAAATTCGTGGTAGGCATATAGTTAAAAATCTACTCATCTTTTTAATACCTTAACACAGGGAATAGATTAGCAATACCTACCTAGCTATTATAAAGTAGCATAAAAGGTTAAAGTACCTATTGTAATTTAAACATTTTCTATTTACTATGTATCGTTCACGTATCACAATAGTTTGTATAGTTCTACGGCCTTGCTACGCAAGATATCCGTAGCACTCATAGTGCTACATATAGCGTTTTATAACATTGTGTTCAATAAATACATCCACGCAACTTTGTCTGCTTCTTTCTTCATTGATGCTCAACTCCTGTTGGCCATAGCGTGAAGTTATATAGTTCATAACTTCGATTACCGGGCTATGCATCACTAAAAGAGTTTTTTCTTGAGATTTGTTCAACTCTTAGTTTATTATATTACTTGAGATTATTTGATGTTCAACCAATAATAATAGTAAAATATTTTACTATATTTCGTGGGTACAAATTAAAATTGGCAAATACATTAGAAAAATATAAATATAATCAATAAGGAAATATATTCCGTATGTTAATACATATAATCCGAACTACAGACCATGTACGTGAAATCTGGAATTTATTTCTGTATTTTGTTACAACTTTATAAACATACGAAACGTTATGAGTTACTATTTTATGCGAACAAAGGCATGCAGCATATCCGGTACATTAAGATAATTTAGATATACAGCTCTGTTAGTACGTTTTCTGCTGCTTTTTATATTCTGTGAAACTGAAATAAACATTAAAGAGATTACTAACAGGTTTTCAGTGGTTTCATATAGAGCATGCTGAGTTAAAACATCGAAAAGAAAGCTGCAATTTTCTCGATATCGTACTTTTTTAATCATAACGATATTATTTTAAATTGTACGATATTGAGTGAATATCGTACAATTTAAAATTTTGATTGATGTTAATATTATCTATTTTTTATAATACGTAATTACAGCAAAGAACATTATGTAGGTAAATAATTTTACAAAATAGAATGTGTTTTATTATTGATATGTAGGTACTCTTCTTTATTAATTAAATAGAATCTATTAGTTACATTAAATATATTTATACTCTAAAACTTGGCATAAAATTGGCAAACGTATATTATAAAAAGCATAAAGAAATCAACCCTATAATTCTGTATCATTATGAGATACAGTATATAGCAGAGCTATGTGTAAAAGAAAAAAGGACAGCCGCACAACAAACATTCTACTATGTCCTATACTAGTATGACAATGATATATATTAATGCCTTGAAACCCATGAGTTATTTTATGCTTTATCTTTATATATTATTTATTATCTGTTGCTTTTAAATGTATGATTAATATAAAAATATGTACTATGTTTAACAGTGTTGCGGCCTAGTTTATTATCTCAACTAATCATTGCAGAGATCTGAGTTTGAATTCGGGCGATGTCAAAAGTTTGTTCGCATACATTTATTATGCAATAAAATTATAAATAGGACACAATTGAAAGAATAAATGCTTACAATGGCAGACTTATCCCAAAAGAGGGATGTTTCAAGTTTTTATCAATTTATATTTCTCATTGCCTTTCTTGTGACAATAGTAGGTACTGTTACTATTGTAGGTAGGTTTGCATTCATATCTATTCAGCGAAAAGTGGGCATGTGTTTACCCTATGTATAATAGCAATGGTGAACTACATTGAAAAAACGTTTATATTTATATTATAGTTCTAACATAGTATACATTCGAAATAGCAATCCATGTGTATATCGGTATACATATATATCAGCTGCTCAGGTTTCCAGGACCGTATCTTTTACGAGAAAAACATCTTATAACAATGTATTAAAGTACTTAACTGTTCAATGTACTTAATGACTACGTGTTTACCGAAATGGAATATATTCCACTGTAAACTTGTTTTCGTATTCGTAGAAATGTAATGTGTAAGTGGATCGATTAGTGAAATGGAGAAACGTCCCGATGGTTCGAGGCTACGAATACCGACGCCCCAAGAACAAGGTAAGTATTTGAATAATAATAAGTTCCTTACTTAAACTTGATGTAGAATTACGTACAGGTCCCTAACCTTAACTTATTTATGTAAATTAAATATTTACTAAGAATATTGAGTATTAATTTAAACAGTCCTCTAATGAATATTTCGTGTACATTCCTGATATTAGATATTCTTGAGGGACAGCGGTTTCAAAAATAATACCGACAGTTTTGTTGTTTCATATGTATGTAATTTGTACTCTATATACTAATATAGTATTAATTTCACATTGAAATTAAATTGATGTATGACGTGATGAATCATATATTATAATATTGATAATGAACATCGTGAATATAATGACAAAAAAACGAATCTATTTAGACATGGTAAAATATTTACAAAGGGTTTTTCAATATCTTTATATTAAAAATTTAATATCTACATATATATATATATATATATATATATATATAAATATATATGCTAAACATATATACTATCGTTGAATTTCTAAATTATAATGGGAATAAAGTTACAAGCATTATCGTGTGAACTAGAGACCCTCGCCTTTGTAGTTATTTAAGACACGGAAATCCAAACTATTTCAACAAGAACTGAGGCATTAAATCCTGAAATGCTCTCTCTTTGTTAAGATAACGCTAGATTTCTCACTGAGGTATTTCTAATTAATTATAACAGCACTTACATTATGTTTAGTCGGGACCAATTTACAGATAGTGATATTTCAAGCAACATATACTATTTATTTATTAAATGTTTATGCAGTAGAGTAATTTCTAATAATTAAGATTTCCTTACAGTGATAGTACCTACATGTGAGAAATTAATATTAAAATTAGGAGATTATACATACTTTATTTATGGTATTTATTCATACTTAATGACAGTAAAGAAGGATCTATTACTAAAATACCGCCTCTAAACTACCGATTTCATTAATTGCCGTTTCTTTTCTTTTCGATTTCTAAATTAGGATCAATTGGTAAGTAAATTGGAAAATCGAAATTAACAAGTCCTATCTGTTGAAAAGTAAAATAAGACTGGATAAATGTTATGCCTACTATTTACGATCACATATAGCTTTTAAATACATATATCTGAAAAATACTATTACTCATTTTGTAAATGGAACGTCAACAATAGAATTTCGAATATGGCAATTCTATTGTTGACGATACCAACCTTTTTATAAATTTATATGTTACATTCTTCATACATATTCCACGGCGTCACCAATAAAGACATAACGTCTAAAAACGATTTATCAAATTTATAGTTTATTATAAATACCATATTGCAGTATTCTTCAAACAAACATATCATTTCAATACATTTCTCTCATTCAATATAATCACGAAAACAGTTAGTAATTTCGTTCAATTACTGGATTCATAAAGTAAGAGCGCATAATAAGATTACCTAACATCTTTTTTCTACCCGCTATTTCGAGTTTTCGCGAATTCAAATTTCCTTGCGACTATCATAAATACGGATTATGCAATTCTATACCGATATATAGAAATTTATTTAAGCATGCATGCTTAAATAAATTTCTGAAGAAATGGAAATATTCCTAAGTATTTTGGTTATATTACGTTTAATATATATAAGTTTTAGTTGCTTTATTATGTTTGTTACATTAGTTTTGTGGGGAACGGAAATTGCCTCAAATTGAATTTACCTCTGTTTTTATTATGAACATGAAGAAGTATTGCTTGATATTTAATAGAGGTTTGGTTGATTTAGGTTATGAAAATACTTTACAAATGTCGTGTTTCCCTGTGCTTAGATGTATGGAGTTGTACATACTAAACCCTATTTTTACTGTAATCTTACCCATGAGAAGATTGGGATAACAGTTACTTTTACCATTAATCGCTTCGCATGTATAGTTCTGATTTAAGTTAAACCACAGATAAGACAATATTAAATAATAAAACATAGCATATGATATCAAATTCGTGGATTGTAATAAAATAATTACGAACAATCTAGTTACCTAGTATTCAAATTTATGACTGCAATAATAAAATTTTTTAAGATGATCGTTTTTTGTGTTTTTTCTTATCATATTGTTTCATTTAATATTTAATTTCCTGTACATTTAGCAATAATTTTTATGATTCTGTTTCTTTCGGATCTAAGGTAACATTTGCTGTTTTCTGTGCACTATATCGTGAAAGCTATAAGCGATTGAGCAAACAACCGTAATATACTGTACAAAACAGAGAGAGTTCATCAATACCATAAAGCATTGTTATATCAAATGCTGAGAGTATAATAGCCTCTCTGCTCAGTAAGTAGCACAGTTAAGTGTGCTAGTTATTGAAATTGTGCCTCAGTAATCCACAGGTGGCATGGATAGATCGATTGACATCTTTAATTCAAAATTATAATTTCACAATAACATTGATGTTTGTTCTACATGACAAGTAATTTTAATTTTTCTACACCTTAATAGTATGACACCCTTGGTACGCTACGGTAACCATTTACCATCAGATGGGCCGTATGCTTGTTTACCACCTACGTGATTTAAAAATGTATACTGACGGTTTGAAATCCTGCCCACTGAGCAACTAAACACAAAGCGACGGCTTTAATCATAGAAACTCTCGCTCTTTTCACTTTTGTACAGTAAAAGGCAGTCTAATGTGCGCCACATTATTATATACCGTGGCAGTTTTCAAAGTATTATTTAAGAGAAACTAGGCTAAAAAAGGTTAGAGGTTAAATTTTATACATTTACCATACTTACAAAGTGCTGACGTTAACTTTTATTTATGAGACTAGAAAGACTAGTTAAAATTATAATGAATAAGTGAACTCGTTGGAAACAGTCAGTCTTTTATACTTCACATGTATGTAAGTAAGTACTTAAATCACAAACACTCAAAATGTGCACTCCTAGTGTTATAAGTTAACACTAGGAGTGCACATTTTGAGTGTTCTGATATTCGTAACAGTTCCCTTAATTACAACAGGTGTGATCAACAGTAAACATTATATAGTCACGACTGTCATTCCAATTGGGGTAGTCAGAGGCATTGTCATTATAGTCGACGTGGTGTGGTGAAATTCTAAAAGAGCAAGGGCGTGCTTACCGCCGTTTCTCTGATATATTTGGTTCCGCTATAGATGATCCCCTATAATTTCGGACAGCCAGTCGGAAATATAAATTGACAAACAAAGTTTTTTTTGTATTATATATTTACAGGTACATTTATTTTTATACTTTATTATTCATTACTTGTTACTGTATATATTACTTACAATAAATAGAAATGACTATCTTCTTATGTCCCTGTACCAGCAATGATTGGTTTGCCAACTCTGTTATTACAGTTTCTCATTCATGAGGTTTTCGCTGGTTTTCTTTTTCCTTATTATGTGCTTATTTATGTGTCACGTGACCCAAAACTTCCTCCGTAATAAAATTGACAGGCGAGTTTTGGAGCTTTCCACTTTTGTGGGCAATATTGCGACAAACAACTTTCTTTATTTTGTGTATACCGGTACTGGCATTAACTTTATAGTTGTATAGGTGAAGATGTTTTGAAATTGAATTGTATTGAAGAGATGTTGTCTTATTTTTTGTGTCAGTATTGACTGGAGAAGTCGAAAAGAGAATGTAAATCGTATAAGTATATTACTATATATAATTTGAACGTCTTACATTTATTTAGGGACTTTTATCATAATATGATAATGCCAGTCCCATCGTATCTTATTAGAGTTATGTTAGCTAGTTATCTTTGAATTATGATATAAAAACATATGATAATCAGAATAGATAGACAAAGAGAAATAGACAGTTCTTAGCTCGTCAGTATTCGATTTAATTATATGTAAAGATAATAAAGATAAAGATGATGATAGTGTAAAATAAAATATGCGTTTAAAGAAAGTTATCTTCAATGAATCTACGTCACTTGTATAATGGATACGATAACGATAGAAAATGCACTCTTGTCTATAAATTCTTCGTTGTAAACTTTGTCCGTATATTGGAGATAACGTTCTTTAAGTGCACGACATTACTCGGCTACAAGGAAGGAAGTTTGCAGTATTTCAGGGAGTTCAAAATCGAATATTGGAATGACTAGTATGCTGCTCGCTAGATTTAATATATAGTGTAGGGAGTAACGGAACTACTTTAATAAAGATTTCCTTAAATATGTACTCATTTATCTGGCTACTCTAGTCTATAATTTAACTCATAAATACAATAGTATGTCTTCATTATATTGCTATGTGTATTATTTCTAACTCAGACCTAATAATGATATGTAATGTATGAGCCATTGAAATATTTTCGAATATTATTTTGTTTATCTGTTTTCAATTTTCATCAAGCTCGGATAAAACGTACATAAAGTTTTATACTCTGAATACCAAATTTAACGCTGTTTATAGAGAAAATAAAGTGCTCTTTTTGATGTGTACCTACTTTATATTTTAGAGAATACGAAGAAGTTAAGAAGAAGGTAATGGGTGAAAACACGTGACACACTTATTTTATTTGAAATAATAACTTTACAAAACAAAATGACTTATTTACATTTTATCACTTAAATATAAACTGTAATATGAAATATTTTTTGTGAATAGCGTGGTAAACAAGCTGTTGGTCCGCTTGATTGTAAGTGGTAACCGTCACTTACAGACAGACAGACACACACAGATTCTCATTGTCACGTGATTACCATAGTGTCACTTATACGTTGCCCAATGGTTTCGTACTATGTAAATTCACTGTTTTACCTCAAAATCGTCTTGGAAAAATAAGCTGTTTGGCGGCTGAAATAAGTGAGTCTGAGGTACTCACGCAGACGTCTTTTACACATATACTACCTCGGTAATGTAGTTGATATCTTTGCAGATTTTGAATAGTTTTTATAGTAAAAAGGATTTACTTACTGTATATATTACCGACTTCATTATGTTACGACAGTTGATATTGATTTTGTGGTACAAATTCTTATTTAAAATTAATACT